CTAGCATTATCCCTTCCACTTCAATCCATGTACTACAAATGGCATTAGTTTGTATTTTTTGATCACTGAGTAATATTTCATTGAAAAAAAATGGGCATGGGGCCTCCCCGGTGGTGCAGCGGTTGAGCGCTGGGTTGCGAAGCTGCCCGCAGCCTCTGCAGCGCGGGTTCAATCCCCGGCTGCTCCCCGGCCACCAGAGGAGGGTCCCACATGGCGCGCAGACCTCTCCTGCCGCCTGCTGCTCCCCTCAGCAGTGTACTTCGGTCCTTCTGCCTGCTCTGCTCCCCGCTCTGGCTCTGGTGAATTCTCTCACCCTCCCGCGCTTCTGACTGTACCCAGTGCTTGTATAAATAAATAAAAATAAATCTTTTTTAAAAAAAAATGGGCAAAAGAACTAAAAAGACACTTCTCCAATGAAGAAAGGCAAATGGCCAACAGGCATATGAAAAAATGTTCCACATCACTGGTTATCAGGGAAATATAAATCAAAACCACAATGAGATACTACTTCACTCTGTAAGAATGGCCCACATCAAAAAAAAAAAAAAAACTGGCAACAACAAATGCTGGAGAGGATGTGGAGATAAAGGAACTCTCACACTGCTGGTGGAAATGTAAATTGCTCCAGTCACTACAGAAAGGTATGTGGAGCTTCCTCAAAACACTAAAAATGGAGCTATCATATGATCTAGTAATTCCACTCCTAGGAACCTACCCAAAGGACACAAAATCACTAATTCTAAAAGAAACCTGCACTCTTATGTTTATTGCAGCACTATTTACAATAGCTAAGATATGGACACAACCTAAGTACCCCAAAAGAGTTGAATGGGTCAAAAAGTTGTGGTGTATTTATACAATGGACTATTACTCAGCTGTTACCTTGATTTGTTCTTTAATTTTGCTCCTTTTGTCCCAGACTTGCTGGCCCTTCTACCCGTTCCCCATGGTTCCCCACCAAAAAGTGACTTAGACTTGTGGCACATTTTCCAGCCTCGGCAGCCATGCTTTGAGCCAAACTCATTTGGCCAGGATGGGTAACTTGGGGAGTTTCATTGGGAAACTATATCCTTTCTCTTCTTCCCTCTCTATACACAAAATTCTAATAAAGTTATTTTCTTTCTTTTTTTTAAAGATTTATTTTTTTTTATACAATAGCTGGAGTACAGGCCAGAGGCGTGGGAGGGTGAGAGGATTCACCAGAGACAGAGTGGGGAACAGAACAGGCAGACTGAGAAATACACTGCTGAGGGGAGCAGCAGGCAAGACAGGAGAGGTCTACCACGCCATGTGGGAATCTCCCTGCCGGGCCGGGAATCAAGCCCATGCTGCAGAGGCTGCGGACAGCGCCACAGCGCTGTGCTCAACCTGCTGCACCACCGGGAAGGCCCTAATAAAGTTATTTTCTATTAGAGATCTCACACACTAAGAATATGCTTTGTCTTTATGCAGTAGAAGGCAGATGGTGAAAGTTGGGATCCCAGGGTACCTCTCAGTTTGCATGTTAATAGCACCATACCCTCAGTTTCAAGCATTGTACTTCCTCTTAGCTTTCCAGCTCATCCCTCTACTACTATGATTTCCTAATCCTTCAATCTCACATATTCTCCCTTCTCACTGTTCCTTACCCTATCCTCACTTCCCTCCTTACTAGGCTTAAATCCTATGGCCTATCAGCCTAATTACTTCCTTGTCAATATACCTCACCCTGCATGTCTCTCCCTCTCTGTTTTACACATTTGGCAAAAGAGAATTCCTGATTAAAAAGAAGTCTTCACCAATTCTACACCCATATTCAAGAAACTAAGTAAGACCACACCATGTGGTCTTACCAACAAGCATGAAACTTCAAAGTTGCCCTGCAATCAAACTCTACTTCCCTAATCCATTTGCTTTCCTTTTCTGGTAGTGGAGAGTATTAGCAGCCTCTGTCTCCTCCTCATTGTCCTCGTCCCCTTCCTACTAATCTCTCCCTCAGGCACATCATGCCAATGATATTGGCTTTGCAGTTGCTCCCACCAGGCACATATATACTTCAGGGATTTGGTACTTGTTCTTCACCAAGCTTTGAACATATGTACATGCACTTTCCCCAGTGCTATTATTAGGCACTTAATAAAACTGAGTAAAGGAAGTTGGAAACACTGTCCGTTTGCTTTTCTATTTTGACCTTTCCATTCAGGTTTCTTTGGAAATGCCTCATGCTGTGGCCAAGCACGAGGCATCAAGTCTATCTTAAACTTCTAAGCTCAAACTTCAGAACTATAACAATGTTAATCCCCACATAATCTTGACATACTCCTACAACTTGCTTTATAAGCATGGGCTACATATATGATCAGTCTTATGGAGAATAGGGAAGGTAAAAATTCTTAATAAAAGGGCTATACACCCCAAATTTCAAACTATATTACAATGTTACAGTAATCAAAACAGTATGGTATTGACACAAAAATAAGCATTTAGTCCAACAGACTAGAGCCCAGAAATAAACCCATGCATAGATGGTCAATTAATACAAAGGAATCAAGAATATACAATGGGGAAAGGATAGTCTTTTAAATAAATGGTGTTGGGGGCCTCCCTGGTGATGCAAGGGGTTAAGATGCAACCTATGAAGCTGTCCACAACCACTGCAGCATGAGTTCGATCCCTGGCCGGCCACATGGCGCAGCAGACCTCTCCTGACTCACAGAATACTATGGTATACTCGCAGTATACTCTCAGTATACTTCCTCAGCAGTATACTTAGGTCAATCTGCCTGTTCTGTTCGCCACTCTGTCTCTGGTGAATCCTCTCACCCCCCTGCATCTCTGGCCTGTACCCCAGTTCTTGTATGCATAAATAAATAAATCTTTAAAAATAAATAAATAAATGGTGTTGGGAATATTTAAATAGCTACATAGAAAGAATAAAAGGGGCCCCTATCTTGCACATACATAAAAATTAAATGGAAATGGGATAAAGATTAAATGTAAGACATGAAACCACAAAACTTTTAAACAAAAACATAGATGATATGCTTGTTAACATCAGTCAACAGTTTTTTTGGCAATAACTTTTTGGATCTGACACGGAAAAGCAAAGGCAACAAAAGCAAAAATAAACAAATAGAGCTAAAAAACTCTATGTAGCAAAGAAAATTGTCAAAAAAGAAAAAAAAAGAAAAAGAAAGCTACTGAATGGGACAAAGAATTTGTAAATCATATATATAGGGTTTAATATTCAAAATAGATAAAGAATTCATAGAATTCAATAGCAAAAAAAAATATGATTTAAAAATGGTGAGAGAGTGAATGGACACTTTTCCAAAGAAAACATACCAAAGGCCAAAATGTATATTAAAAGATGCTAATCATCACTAATTATTAAGGAATTGCAAATCAAAAAAATCAGATATAACTTCACACTCAATAGTATGGTCAAAAAGATAAGAGTAACTAGAGTTGGTGAAAATGTGGAGTAAAGGAACCCTTGTATACTGCTGGTAGGAATGTAAAATGGTACAGCCATTGTGGAAAGAGTATGAAGCTTCTTCAACAAAACTAAAAAAGAACTATCACATGATCCAGCAATTCCACTTCTCAAATTTACTGCATGAAACTTCAAAGTTGCCCTGCAATCAAACTCTACTTCCCTAATCCATTTACTTTCCTTCTCTGGTAGTGGAGAGTATTAGCAGCCTGTCCCCTCCTCATTGTCATCGTCCCCTTCCTACTAATCTCTCCCTCAGGCACAACCTGCCAGTGATATTGGCTTTGCAGTTGCTCCCACCAGGCACAGGGATTTGGTGCTTGCTCTTCACCTTGAATACATGTGGATTGGTCCATGGTATTTACTCAAGGAAAATAAAAACACTAACTCTAAACATGCATCTCCATTTCACTGCAGTATTATTTATAATAATCAAGATAAGGAAATAACCTGTGTCCATCAATAGATACACAGTTATTTATATATACATATTTTATAAGAGTATGAAACCATTAACGCAAAGAACTACAATGTTTATGAGCAGCATTATTTACAATAACGAGTGCTTGGAAATGACCTAAATGTCCATCAACAGATGACTGGATCATGAAGATGTGGTAATGGAATACTATTCAGCCATGAGGAAAGATGAAATGCAGTCCTTTTCAGCAAATGGAGGAAGTTTAAGAGAATCCTGTGTAGTGAAGTCAAACAACAACAACAAACATTGGACATTATATATACATGTGTGTATATGTGTGTGCATATATGTACATACATATATACAGCAAACTATTTTAAAAAGTATAGTACTTTAACAAAAACTAGTGGACGTCAATCAGTAACAAGAGGGGTAAGAGGAGGTAGGTGGGGGGGAAGGGAAAGGCAATAAGGAACATGAATCTCAACAGCCGTCATGACAAAAAAAAAAGTAACTGCACATGATATTAACTAGACTTTCTGTGTCACCTGGTAATACATACAAATAACAAATCACTGTACACCTAAACTAATACAAAATATGCCAAATACACTGCCGTTATTTAAGAGGCTACAAAATCAGCTTTGCGCTGAGCATAACAGACTGGCATTTAGTCTGAAAAAATATTAGTAATTCTCTAATAAGACACTGGAAACTGATATTTAGGACATGCTCTCGGGCAAAGGATGACTGTTCCACGAGTAGTGCCCAGGGTCGGCATTAAACAAATTCCAACTTGGGGGGAGGTAGAAGGCATTTGGATTAGGGTCCCCCCCCCACCAACGCACAAAGGGCTCAAATGACTGTTGAGGGCGATCAAGGGCGTGTATGCCGGGCCAGGACTGATAATAAACTATTGATAATGGGAAGAGGGATTTAAACAGGACCGGGACTTGGGGCCACCTTGGAAAAGTGTAAGCTAGAGACTGTCCAGGTCCTAGGGAGTCAGAAGTTCGGGGTGAGCTCTTGCGCCCGGAGCCCCGTCGGTTGGTCGTGGGGCGCGAAGCCCCCGCCTTCCCCTCCAGTTCCACCCGCCGCCCTCACCTTCTGCTGGAAGTAGTGAATCGAGTACTTCTTGGATCCATCGTGGAGGGAACCGAAGCCAGTTGACAGGTGCAGGCTGTTGAGGGCCCTCAGGGCCGGCGACACGGAGATGGCGGCCCCGGGGGTCAGGGAGACCAGGAGCAGGAGGGCGCAGGGCCCCATCGCTGGGCTGGAACAGAAGGAGCAGAGGCGCGCGGCCGCGCAGGTCGCACGAGGGGCCCCGCCCAGCACCGCAGGCTCCGCCCCGGGGGCCCGGCCTCCGCCCTCCACTGTACCGCGCGGTCCACACTCGCAGCCCCGCCCACCACCGCAGGCTCCGCCCCGGAGGCCCGGCCTCCGCCCCCCACTGTACCCCGCGGTCCACACTCGCAGCCTCGCCCAGCAACGCAGGCTCCGCCCCGGGGGCCCGGCCTCCGCCCCCCACCGTATCCCGCGGTCCACACTCGCGACGCCCGCGGCATCCGCCCCTCCCCGCGCCGCGCTCATGCCCCTTTCGGGTCGTCCCGGTGAGTCCGTCTTCCTTGGGGTCACATTCCAAGTGCCTCCTGCTGCCCGCCGAACCCCAACCTTTTGGGGGTTCTGTCACCCCCACTTTTCCGCCCGCTCACCCTCTCTCTCCGCCTTTATTGTCACCGCCAAACCCTGCCCTGTTGGCCTCAGCTCAGTTGCCATGCCACTGCCCCCGCGAATTCGAAAATCGTGGTAATAATAATAACAGTTGCAGGGCCTCCCCGGTGGCGCAGCGGGTGGAGCGCCGCGCTGTGAAGCTGTCCGCAGCCCCTGCGGCGCGGGTTCGATCCCCCAGCCAGGGAGATACCCACATGGCGCGGCAGACCTCTCCGGTCGCTCCGCTGCTCCCCTTAGCAGTGTATTTCGTCAGTCTGCCTGTTCTGTTTCCCGCACTGTCTCTGGTGAATCCTCTCACCCCCACACTTCTGGCCTGCACCCCAGTTCCTGGATGCATAAATCTAAAAGCTGTTTATTAAAAAATAATAACAGCAGCAGCTACAGTCACTCCGTGTCACCGCAGGCCCGGGACAGGCTCGTCTCGTCTAACCCGACACCGCGGCAGCCTCGGGCGCGACGCCCGCTCCTCCCACTCTCAGATGAGGAAACTGAGGAAACCAGGGTCCACATAAAGGGAAGTGGAGCTCGCTTCGCAGACTGCTCGGTCAGAGTCTGCACCCCACTTCCAGCCCAACACGTCACTCCTCGTGCTGCGCTGCCCGTGGTGGCGCCGGCCTGTGCTGCCCGCGCAGCTCCCCCAAAACGGGGCGTCCCCGCAGCCCACTCAGCCCTGATTCCGCGGGCCCTTCCCGGCGCCGGGCGCCCCGCCCCGGCCCCGCCTCCCTCCCCCTCCGCGCCACCCCGGGACCAATCCTGGGGCCCCGGCTCCGGCCGCCACGGCCGCCACGGCCCCCTCAGCGCCCGCGGAGCGCGCGTCCCGCGGCGTCCCCGCCACGCCCACCGCCCCCTGGGGTTCCTGCGCCCTGTGGCTGGCGCCGCCCCAAAACCTGCTTCACAGGCTGTTGGGGAAGGACATTCGCCGAGCCCCATCCCCACCCGCGGCGGGACGGAAACGGGGGTCCCCGCGCGCCCGCCGCCCCCACGCCTCAGCGGCGTCCCGGCGGCCCCGCGCGCAGGCGTCACTTCCGGCGGAAGGAGCGGGGGGGCGTCTCCGCCGAGCGCGGGGCGGGGAGCCCAGACGCCGCCGTGAAGCCGTTGTGGCCGCCGAGCCCCGGCAGAGCGTCCCCGGGAGCCCGGCTCCTCGCGACGGCGCGGGCGACCTGGTGAGCCGCTGGAGGGCGCGTCAGGGTGACTCCAGGGGCCGCTTGGGGGGCGCCAGGGTGACGGGGGGCCGCTTGGGGAGTCAGGGTAACTCCGGGGGCCGCTTGGGGAGAGCCAGGGTGACTCCAGGGGCCACTTGGGGAGTCGCAGAGTCACCCCGGGCCGGGGCGGCCGCGCCTGTGTGTTAGGGGGAAAGGATGTCCTGAGCTAATTCCGTTCAGCCCGTTTTGTATCGGGGCTGCCCTATAACATGCGGGGCGCCGGGAAGGGGCGCGGGGCCGCGGGGCAGGGGCGCCTGCGGGCGGGGTGTCCGGCCCAGCCGGGGTCTGCGGGAGGCGCGCGAGCGGGCGGGGGCTCCAGCCAAGAACTTCAGACCCGTCTAGATTCCTCGTCTGTTGAGTTTTATCCAGCTTCATGGCTCTCCCCGCCCCGCGTGTACCCTAAATCCGTACCTGTCGGGCCCCTCTCCTGGCCGTTACCTGGGCTCTGCGCCGTGGGGCCACGCGGCCGTGCGCTCGCGTCTCAGCCAGAGACGGGCAGGTCCGGCCGGGCCCCTCGCCTCAGGCCCCGCCGTCGGGGCGCCGGCCCTGGGGTGTGTGGCTCTAACGCTTGGGCCCTCCAGCCGCTGCTCACACCCTGGCCCTCGGCGCCGCCTCACCGAGTGTCTGTGAGTTCTCGGATGCACCGTCCCCGTCCCTAGACCTGCCCTGACCCCGTCTCCAGCCTCTGGTTCTTACTCGTTCCTTCGGTCCCGGTCTGTCAAGTCTGTTGCGTCAGGAAGGCGCTTGCAGGATGGGGTCCCAGAGTCCAGTCCTTGTTCCTTCATTCTCCAGACAGTTTTCAAGCGCTGCTTTCCCTGCCCAAGTTCCAGGATTGTCGTGATGAACGATATGACCAGAGTTCTCTACCAAATGAAACTTAAACCTTTTAAGGCTGGACTTAAGATTAGTATGGGGGGTACTCTTCCAGTTGGGTTGATCTGGGAAAGCCTCTTGGACCTCAATCTGCAACAGGGTGGTCCCCAGGAACTGCCCCACCAAGGGAGGGTGAGCTGAGCAGGAAGAGAGAAGCTGCAGGAAGAGACGGAGGAAGGAAGCAGGATGGAGCCAGGAGACCTGGAGGACGCACATGAGCGTAGAGACACGTGAAGAAACTGCGCTTGTCTTTGGTCGTGGAACACAGATGTGGGTGAGACCCGTGGGGAGGTGACAATGGCAGCTTTTATCTTGATGTTGATTAACTGGAAGATGCTTTAGACTTGTGGCAGGCTTTGAATCCCATATGGATGGACTTTTACCCACGAGGGACGGGTAACTTTGGTGCTTCATTTAGAAACTAGACTCTTTGCCTTACTGTATTGTTTCCTAGTTATTAAAGTTCATTAAAGTCTTATATGTTTTGTGCTGATGCGGCGGATGGCAGACCCATTTAGAATAGGCAGGTTTGCATAACAGATTCAGAACTGAAGCCGAAATGATGAGGACGATCCAGGCAACAGAAGAAAGGAAGGTCATTCCAAATAGGTTGAATAGATTATGCAGAGACCTGAGGCAGAAAAGGGTTTGGTGTTCGCAGTGTACAGAAGAGACCAGTCCTGCTGGAACATATTTAGAGAGGGAAGTTGAAGGAGTCTGGGTAGGTAGGAAGGGCCCAGACACGCAGGAGGCTTATACAGAGGCAGAAGCAGGAGGTGACGATTTTCTAAATGTGCAGGATTTAGGGGTTCGTAGACAGGGTGGTGAGAGATGGTTTCTAGATGCAGAAATAGACTTAAACCTTTCCTGATGGCTGTATGTGGGAAAGAACAGAAGGAAGGATGACTTCTAGGTATCTGACCCTAGTTACTGGTTGGACAGCAGTGCCATTTGCCAAGTTGGAGAACATGGCAAGAGGTTGGAGAGGAAACCTAAGAATTCAGGGTGTTTTTATTTTTGTTTTTTACCATTAAGCCTTGCATTTTGCATTTATAGAAAACACTCAAATACATTTGACTTTCAGGTAAGCGGTGGAGATAGGAAAGTCTGGAGCTTGCAAATTTTGTGTATACTTTTATGTCACTGGTTATTACATTGTCTGTCTTTGCCAACAGATTGCCAGTTCCTTGAACATAAAAGTCTATTTTTCCTATGTGTGACTTTGTCCCTTTCCTCATCCCTAGAATAGTATTTTATTGTAAATGTAGTGAACAAAACACATGTTGTACTCACTAAAATTTTCCTGGGTGATATTTTTAAAATATTTTTCACCAATATGTCTACAAAACAAAAGTTGTATCTCTTGTTTGTTTGTTTACTTTTCTATCTCCTGCCTCATTCTCCCCTTTCTGGAATTTTCACATTAATGTCAGTAAATTATTTCTCAGAGACTTGTTATTATTGCCTTTAGGAAAAATAGGCGAAGTATGTACCCTTGGAGCAGACTATTAGATAGTGTTCGCTATGGAAAATAGCCATGCTTCCTGTAGCTGAGGACTCTTGACCTATAAAATGGTGAAAGATTTTCTTGCAAAATAAAAATCATCTGGAAAGGAGTGAAGGGAGAAAAGTAGCTCCTATCTTCTTATACCGTTAAGACTGGGTATTAGTTTTTATTTGTTTTATTGAGGTAACATTGGTTTATAATATGTTTCAGGTATAGAGCATTATGTTTATATATTGAGCATTATATTTACATAGAGAGAGCATTATATTTATATATTGTCCTCACCACCAAAAGTCTAGTTCACGTATCACCATACAATGACACCTTTTACGCATTCACTGCACTCCCGCCTTCCCCTCTGGCTACCTCCAGCCTATTCCCTGTATCTAAGAGTTTTTAGGTTGGTGAGGGGGTAGTTGTAGTTTCTTTCTTTATATTGTTGTAGTTTGCTTTTTTCCCTCACATTTTAAAAGAACAAGTTTATTAGCAAAAGGAGAAAGAGTGGCACCTGCATGGTCACAGGCAGGCACGTATGAGTGAAATCATATAGTATTTGATTTCCTCAGCCTGACTCATTTCACTTAGCTTAATACCGTCAAGATCCATTCATGTTGTCACAAATAGTAGAATGTCATCGGTTTTTGTAACCCAGTAGTGCTCCATTATGTACGCATTCCACATCAATACTTGTTCATCTGTCAGTGAACGCTTATTTCCATAGATTGGCTGTTGTAAATACTGCTGCATGTATCTTTTTGAATTAGTGTTTTCGTATTCTTCAGATAAAGGGAATAGCTGAATCATATGGTATTTCTATTCTTAATTTTTTGAGGAATCGCCATACTTTTTCCACAGCATCAATATCAATTTACATTCCTTCCAATAGTGTGCAAAGGTTCCCTTTTCTTGATATCTCACCAGCACACACTTCTTGCCTTTTTGATAAAAGCCATTCTAGCAGGTGGCTTTAATTTGCATTTCCCTAATAACAGGTGGTGATGGTCATCTTTCCATGTACCTGTGACCATTTATGTCTTGGGAGAAATGTCTATTTAGATCCTTTGCCCAATTTTTTTTTTTTTATGGGACCCTTGCCGGCAGCCAGGGAACAAACTGGTGCCGCATCTGCGGGCAGCCTCGCAGCCCAGCGCTCAACTGCTGTGCCACCAGGGGAGGCCCTGCCCATTTTTATTTTGGGGAATTAGCTTTTAGTGGAGTGATTTCATCCTATGGCGGGAGTCTTAAATGCAAGTGTGAAACTTGAGCAAACTCACGATGACTGGTGGGTTACTAATTACAAGGCACAAATACCAGCTCTGAATCCACCTGCTTCTTGATGGTTAGTTATTTCGTTTCTATGAGTGGGTCAGATAATAAAGTAAAAGAGCTTTGAAAATTGTAAAGCAGTCAAGATATATGAGCCCAGCTAGACTATAAACAATTCTTTTTTTTTTAAGATTTATTTATTTATGCATACAAGAGCCAACAGCCAGGGTATAGGCCAGAAGTGCAGGTGGTGAGAGGAGACAGAGACAGAGTAGGGAGCAGAACAGGCAGATCTGCTGAAACACACTGCTGAGGGGAGCAGTGGGCAAGACTGGAGAGGTCTGCTAGCTCCATGGCCAGGGATTGAACTCGTGCTGCAATTTCTGCAGTGGCTGCACATAGCTTCATAGTGCTGCAACTTAACCCCTTGCGCCACCAGGGAGGCCCTATAAACACTCTTAAAATAGCCTCCGCTTCTTACACTTCTAATCACCATCTTCCTCATGCCCATTCACACTAAATTTTTAGATTATTTTCTCCATGATCTAACATTTAAGAATTATTTTAGATTTTCTAGTCTAACCGTAAGAAGAGAAAAAAGTATGTAAGCGTGTCAGCCAATGTGGGTATGGATTTTCATGGCTTTTTACGGTGCCTTAGTAGTAAGGCTTTAAGATGAGAGCCAAGAATTACAGAGTAATAGGAAGCAGCTAAATGTTCTCAGGCTTTGCAGTTTAGCTATAACCACATTGATCACCGTGGTCTTCACCATCAGACAGCCCCAATAGCTAGGTCAGTGTTTTCTAAGTGTGGGCATTACCTGGGAACTTGTGATGCATGCAAATTCTTGGGCCCTCAACTCAGAATACCTGAATCAAACTCTCGAGTTGGTCCCCAGAAATCAGTGTTCTTTCAAAGCCTCCAAGTGATTCTGATGCACACAGAAGTTTATGAAAATGGGATTTGGGGGCTATAGTCAATGAACAACGGTATCTAGGCCCATTGACAAAACCAACAGTGGTGATAAAGGATGCATCAGCTGTAGTAGTCTGATTCCATTAAATATTTGATTTACCTGGTGTCCCTTTAAGCAACTTTCCATTTATAATTTGTCGTAATGTATAACCAAGAGAGAATAGTTTTATAGTATGTTCCTTTTCTATGATGGTTTAGGATTATCCCACATGACTTAACTAGAAAGAAATCTGAAGAGATGTGACCTTGTGCCTCTGAATTACACATGGTGTGTAAATCCATGTTAATTACCTCAATAAAAAATAAGTAAATTCAGTGTGCATTTAAAGAAAAAAGAATGAGACCATTATAAAATTATTCCACATTAAATTAAAAATGCACTAGATTTTGTCCACATGGACCCCACTTATTTTAAGTGCAAGTCTTTATTCCTGCACTTCAGCTTGATCAATCTAGGCCTTACAAACAAAAACCAACTGAGGCCCTAATTAGTTCCCATCAGCCTGCCCTGACATTTATGCTTTTCTCCCCTTCTGTCTCAGCCTCCTTGCTTTTATTTTTATGTTTGAGAGACTGATAGAAACCAACTTTTTCTTTATTGCCCTCAGTATTATATTTCATTTCCCTAGTTATAAAAATAACACATTTAGAAAATATTTTAAACATATATAGAAATAAAAGTCATCTTTAATCTGATGGCTGAGAGAAAATACAATTGAGAAAATGGTCACTTTCCTAGTTATCCTTTCTCTCGCCATCCCCCCAAATTAAGACTAGCTTTGTCCCCTTGTTACATTTTCTCATGGCATTATGTGCATTTCCTTTATAAAATCTACAATTTCAGTTTTTTGGGGTTTTTTTTGGTGATTATTGTTTGATACATGTCTAGTGATCAGGTAGGGCCCTTGACTATTTTGTCCAGCACTTTTACTATCCCCAAATCTGGTATTTAGCAGCTGCATAATAAATAATTGATAAATACATGACTATATCGAGCTTGTTAAATTGGAATATGGTTTCCTAACTGTGGAGCTGAAAGAAATGTATTACTATATCATCATCCTTCCCAATAAAATCAAGAAGAAGGATAAATTGCAAGAGATACCACATGAAATTGTTCTCTAGCTTATCATCATGTTTTCCCAACTTCAGAATTTTCCCATTTTTTTTTAAAGATTTATTTATGCATGCAAGAGCTGGGATACAGGCCAGAGGTGTGGGGGGTGAGAGGATTCACCAGAGACAGAGTGGGGAACAGAACAGGCAGACTGATGAAATACACTGCTGAGGGGAGCAGGGGGTGAGACAGGAGAGGTCTGCTGTGCCATGTCTCCAAGGGCCGATGGGGATTGAACCGGCACTGCAGAGGCTGCAGACAGCTTCGTAGGTTGTGTCTTAACCCTTGCGCCACCAGGGAGGCCCCAATTTTTCCATCCTTGATGTGTCTTTCAGATATCCATAAAACATGAATTCACTACACTGCAAGTCAGGCAGTGGAGAGAGAGAACTAGGTGACAAGTATCATGAAAGAATTACCATGAAACAGCAAAGGGAGTATCTTAACAGTAACTATCTGAAAGTTGGAGGAGGGGGAGAGGAGGGTGACCATTAAACAATGAAGGGGGAGTCTTTTTGCCACATGCTGGGGTTCACCAGGTGAAACAAATAGTACAAACCGTTTTATGATTTTATTTCAGTTCTCAAATTTGCTATTTTACAGTTTTCTGGACATGCCTATTTAATCCACTAGAGGGCAATAAACCCTTAAATAAAGACTACCAGTCATCGACACAGCAGTTTGTGCTTGCACATTTAATTTAGAAATTACTCCCCAAATATTTGTACTTACATAAATTTTTTCATTTTATTTTTGTTTTTTAGTACTATATTTTATATTTTTTACATAATTTTTCATTTTTATACAATATAGGCATTTTCATCTCGGTTATAAATTTTTCATTTTAATTGTTCTCCCCCACAACACTTACACAGTCATCTTGTAGGTTTGATCCATTCCTAAAGTTTGAATTTTATAACAGTTTTCTTTTTTTTTTTAAAGATTTATTTATTTATGCATACAAGAACTGGGGTACAGGCCAGTGGTGCAGGGGGTGAGAGGATTCACCAGAGACAGAGTGGGGAACAGAACAGGCAGACTGACCAAAATACACTGCTGGGGGAGCAGCGGGCAAGATAGGAGAGGTATGCCGCACCATGTGGGTTGCTCCCTGGCCAGCCGGGGATCCAACTCCTGCTGCAGAGGGTTTGGATTGCTCGTAGTGCGGTGCTTAACCCCTTGCACCACCAGGGAGGCCCTGATAACAGCTTTCTAAAGAATATTATTTGATAAGTTAAAAAAAAAAAAAAGTTTTCCAATGCATTGACACTATAATAAATATCATTGGCATTGTGTGGAGGGTCATTACCTAAGAAATGAATTAAAAATTTGCCATTCATTCCGATGCCTGTTTTGTTTTGCAGGCCATGTGAACACATGAATAGAAGAAGAAAATTTCTTCTTGCCTCAGTTCTTGCTCTCCAGAATTCGAGTTTTATATATCCTTCATGTGAAAAGTGCTTCTCTCGGGTAATCCTCATCTCCACAAGGTAAAAATAAAGCTCGTAAATCTGAGTGAGAAAGTACAGTGTACGCTGTAGCTTTCTTATGACCCAAGAGCAAGTAAGGATTATATTCACCATACCTGGACATACCTTTTAATGCAGCAGCCCTGGGAAATGATGTTATTTTAATGCCAGCCTTTTGAGGAAAAAATTGAAGTTTGGAAAAGTCAGCTAGTTAGTGGCAAAATGTTTTTAAGCCTAAACAACCTGTTGTCTGGATTCATAATCACTACATTCCCTCCAGATTAGCAGTGGAATTTGTATCCAGAATGACACACACCCTTTGTTTCCCAAAGCTTAAATGTCCCAGGAAAGGGGGGCTCTTGCTGGGTTCCCACAGCATTTGGTCTGTACTTGTGGAAACATATTGCATGGAAATAAAACCTATTATCTGCATATATTACATTGACGTTACTACACAAAAATCTATTCCTCTCATTTCTAGTGCTCACCGTTTTTACTGTTTCTGCTTTCCATTCCGTTATTTGCCAATACAAGAAACAGGAATTTCTCACTTTCATTTCCCCACTGCTGCAACACAAGCTCATGACAGGAGTTCCAAACCTATCCTCCGCAGACTTTAGAGACCTGAAGAGCAAAGAGACTGTTCCCGAAAGATTTTCCTTGAGCCCCAAATCCTTAGCAACAACCACATATTAGGTATTTTTTAACCTCCAAAATTAGGGCAGTGATAGTTTTCAAACTCCAATTTGCAGAGCTTCAGAGCTCCACGAAGGTGCTTCCAGAGGGAGGTAGGGATTGAAGATGTAATAGTGGGCAGCACTGACTAGGAGGCAGGGCTTTTGGACCCCACTGAAGTTTTCACAAGTGCGCCCCTCTCATCCTTGTGTTAGGGTGCCAGACTAGGTTTCATTTTAAAAGAAATTTTCTGATACAGTTAAAGATATAGGATAGACGTTAGACAGACAAATATAAAAAAAACCTGTATAAAAAGTTTGTCTGCTTCCTTCATCTTTTTGTGTGTACTAAAAATGAACAGCAAGGAAGGGGACTTACTTATCCAGATAAATTATACACCTAGCCCAGCATGTAAATGGTCCTTTTAGGACAATTAATATTAGCTTAATAGGACCCATACTCCTTTAGGTCAAGAAATCTGTCTTTGACTCTAAGAACTTAATCTTTTCTATCTTAAAATGGGGGTTGTAGCTCAGAAACTACCATTTACCCCCCCAACTCCCTCCAGAACTGTTTGATATTACTTAAGTCAAATTTTGGTTCACATACGTGGATCATGACTTTCTCTGAGGGGGGAGTGTGGAGCAGAGATGGTAAGCACAGCCTTGGGTATGCAGCTTTACTTTACTTTTTTTATTATATTGCATTCATTCAATTTAATCTGGGTCAATAAAATTGGGAGGGACATTATATAGTCCTCTACACCAGACATACTTAATCTGGGGTCTCGGGATAGGTTATAGGCATATATGAATCCTCCAGTCACCAAAATAAGTAAAATACTGTGTGCATGTTTTTTCTGGGAGAGCACTTCCATTGTTTTTATCATATTTTCAGAGTTTAAAGACCAAGAAAGGGCCTTCCTTGGTGGCACAAGGGGTTAAGTCACAGCACTATGAAGCTATCCGCAGCCACCGCAGGGAGGTGACCCACATGGCGCGGCAGACCTCTCCTGTATCGCCCACTGCAGTCACTCTGTCTCTGGTGAATCCTCTCACCCCCCGCATTTCTGGCCTGCACCCCACTTCTTGTATGCATAAATAAATAGATCTTTTAAAAAAAATTAAAGACCAAAAACACTAAGGATCACTGATCTCATCAGTTCTTGTGGGCTAGATGTAAATACACTAACCTGGAAAAATAACCAAGTGAAACTTGAATTTTGTTTGTTGTTTTTTTAAAAGATTTATTTATGCATACAAGAAGTGGGGTGCAGGCCAGAGGTGTGGGAGGTGAGAGGATTCACCAGAGACAGAGTAGGGAACAGAACAGGAGGATTGACAGAAATACACTGCTGAGGGGAGCAGCAGGCGAGTCAGGAGAGGTCTGCTGTGCCATGTGGGTAGCTCCCTGGCCGGGGATCAATCTTGTGCTGCAGTGGCTGCAGACAGCTTCATAGGTTGCGTCTTAACCCCTTGGGCCACTGGGGAGGCCCTGAAACTTGAATTTTAACTGTGATTAGACAAAAAAGGTTACAAATTACAAGTATTATTCAGATAGATCCTTACAGAGGCTTCTTGGCATCAAAACTATTTTCAGAATAATTTTAAAGATTATTTGTCTTTTCACTGTCCTTCACTTAAAAATGCATAGTGGGGTTTTCCAGAGGCTACATGACATCTGATAACAGATTTAGCAGAGAAAGAGAAATGAGAATCCAAGTGTATTTAATAAGCCAAACATAAAGAAACTTGCAATATATTGTCTAGATTTCTCAATTTTAATTTCTTTCATTTAAATTTCTTACTTTCAGTTATAAATATAGCAATTGTTCATATTAAAGGAAAAAAAAACCCTCTTTGATCTCAATAGTTTTGAAGAGTATAAAGTATCCTAAGACCAAAAAAGTTTAACAAGTGCTTTCCATAACATGACATTGTGGAGAAAGGGATGCCTGGCAGAGTTAAGTCTAGGGTTGTGATTTGAGTATATTGTCTCTATCCTTGCTTCTCAGAATGTGGTCAGGGGAACCGCATTGCCATCACCTGGGAGCTTGTTAAAAATGCAAAATCTTGGATCTTGTCCCAGATTTTTGAATCAGAATCTCATTTCCACAATGATCTCATTTCCAGGTGATTTATATTGAACTTTGAGAAGCTCTGATCTATATTAATAGTCTATACTAACATTTAATTTATTTCAGTCCAGTTTTATTTCTAAAAATGATTCAAAGCAGCTGTATAAATATCTTTACGCATGTGTATTTTGTGTAAAAGTATATATGATGTAGTGTGTATATGTATTAATACCAATAGGCTTAGTTCTGTTGTGTTAGGCTACACTCTCTATTTATAAGATAGTTTACTAGCTGTATTGTTGTAGTTTTATAGGCAAGAACTCCAGGCTAGGAGTCTAAACCTTTGGCTTTCAGTTATAAAATTCACTCTCTCCATCACCTTGGGCAAAAATTCATCCCAGTTCCCCATTTGTAAATGGGTGTAAATTCCTTGTTTATATATGAGGATGAAGTCATGTTTATTAAAACATTTGTAAGCTGTGAGCACTGATGCATATTCTGAGATTTGCTTAGAATTTTACGTTAGACCTGGATACATTATTAATATGTAACCTTTAATGAAGTTCTAACATATTTAGAACACAACTCATTTCACTGGAGTTTGATAGTAATGAAGTTTTATATTCTGTTGAATGAGTTACCTTCACTTTATTCGATCAGACTACAGCACAAACTAAGTCCCACAGGTTTGTGTAAGATAATATGAATTAATTGTACAGATCCATTTTCAGTGTGGCAAGAAATGTAATTAACATAGATCTAATAATGGTGAATCCATAGCTTATATGTAGGATTAACCTTTGTTCAAAATAGTCACCTAGGGATCTCTGGATTTTAGGCTCCCCTAGTAGCTATTTGGCAGCAATCAAATTTATACAACTATCTTTAACTTTTTTAATCGAATTTTATTGATTTGCCATTTGTTTACATACCTGTATAATTTTGAGAGTACATTTCACACCTCAACTTGTGCATATTCTTCATTCACTCATCCTCCACCAAAGCTCCAGTGCTGATACCCTGTCACACACAGCTCTTCCCATCCCCTGTATTTTTCACAAGAATCAAAGAGTTATTTTTGTTGTGTTTTGTCAGCTTGTTTTCTTTGCTTATCTATCTCATGAATGAGTGAAGTCATCCAGTAATGGTCTTTCATTTTTTGTTGCTTCTTAGCATAATCACCATTTTGTCCCAAAAGGCAGTTTACTCTTTTTAATAACTAAGTAGTATTCCATTGAATATATGTAACAACATTATTTATTTATTTATTTATACAAGCACTGTGTACAGTCAGAAGTGCGGCAGGGTGAGAGAATTCACCAGAGCCAGAGCGGGGAACAGAACAGGCAGACTGATGAAGTACACTGCTGAGGGGAGCAGCAGGCGACAGGAGAGGTCTGCGCACCATGTGGGACCCTCCTCCAGTGGCCGGGGAGCAGCCGGGGATCGAACCGGTGCTGCAGAGGCTGCGGGCAACTTCGCAGCCCAGCACTCAACTGCTGCGCCACCAGGGGAGGCCCTAACAACATTATTTTCTATTTACATTTGCCATTCTTTTAAATAAAGCTTCCAGATACTTTATTAAAATGTAAAATACTTTCCCTTCCTTACCTGTAAATCAGATCTTACAAAGGAGTTGTTTGTTCACCAATTACTTAGAGTTCCCCACCGTTCCTGTACAACCTGGAATTCCAGTATGTTAGTTTGTAATGAAACTTTGCCTTTTTCTGTGGACCATGGGCCATATTACTTGTATTGACTCATTCTGCCTCTGTAAAGATAGATCTGCTGGCATGTTGGAATCCTCCTTAGCATACACTTAACCATTTGTTACTTGCCTGCCTTTCTTTACAACTTGCCTTTGTTGTCCTTTATTGCTCATTGTTTTCTTGTCCAGCTAGACAGGGAGCTGCCTGCAAGCAGGGATCAGTTGTTTTTATATCTTTACCACAGTGCCTGTTATGTTTGTTGAGTAAATGATTTTATGAGTGCTGAAGCAACTTGACCTACAATTAGGTCACATAAGTCATGAAAATATAAATGTGAGAAGAAAATACAAAGAGCCGTAACTGCATAAATCTAAAATCTTGGCTTTTGCTTAGTTTTTAATCACTAATTATTAAAAATTAATGATAGGTTTTCCAGTAGTTTTATAGGGTTACCTGATAAAGAGGCTGCTTGTAAATCAGCTACTGACAAGCCATAGCAGATGAATCACTGCTCTCTCCCTTTAAAATGCGGTTTTCCGCATTGTAGCAACAACTGGGGCAGACGGAAGTGAAATGAAGAAAAGTCCACTTAATCAAATTTGTTATATAATTTCAGATACCATAGCATCATATATAATAAGCAGAGCATAATTTAAATGTTAGGATTTTTAAACTCCAGATTGGTCTGTGGACTTTATTGTCCAACATCAGAGCACTAGATAAGAAGATTGCTTTCAGAATTAAGTAGAAATTCAAAACTCTTTCATACTTGTTTTGACACACAGTGTATAGCTTCATAAATCCCAAGAGAGCCTACAACACCGTAGCTAGTGGACAGTATGTAGTTCCTAATGTAGAACTGCATGTAACATTGACCGGGGACACAGCCAGCTTCCTGCCATATGATGAAGACATTTTTTTTAAAAAAAATATCTATTTGAAGGGATTGTGCTCAGTGAAATTAGCTAGAAGGAAAAAGAAAATTATGGAATGGTTTTCCATATAGGGGAACTAAATAAGGGATCAGGAAATAAAAATAACAATAATAATAATAAAACAACAACACTAGCAGGCAACCATAAATAAGAGACATTCTGCGAGAGAGGGGGAGGAAAAGGCATCAAAATGGGAGGGAAGAGCACAAGGGACTGTGGTGATGGTTCACAGGTGAACTGGTGGTGGGAATTTTAGGGGGAATACACAAAAATGTAAAAGATATAAATAAATCAAAGCTATAAAATATTTCACTAAAAATGGTGCTTTTAAGAAAAATGTGATTTTATTTTTGGCAAGAACTAACATTTTTGTAAAGTATGTTTTAAATTGTTTTCCATTTGTAAATGTAATAACAAAAATCCCTTTGGAATTATTTTTCCTAATTCACATTTCAAAGTTTCTCATCTGTACAGTCCATATATGAGCTTTAACATCACGTTAGATGTGTCCATTGCTGGACTATGAAGGTTTTAGAAATACTTTTGTAACTCACTGAAAAGTAGTATCTACAATATATGACTTAGCATATATTTAAATGATTGAAAATAACATGCAAAGTGTTTTTGTTTCTTTTCTTCACTGCACTGTCAGGCAGACTCAGCATCTTCTCTCCCTGTAGTACATTACGTACTTCTAGCTAAGATATTCTTCTCAACTGGGCACTGCACAGGCATTACAGTAGAAGGCACTTGATCTGACTTCTGAAATGATATGATGAAATGAAATCACTTTCTGGAAATCACTTTCTGGAAAAGTCTTTTATGTACTCCAGGTGCTATCTCAGCACTGTTCTCTGAGGCACACTTTGTATGTATAAATGTAAATGTAGCCTTGATATATACTAACAACTACAAGTCCAAGAGCAGGATGCCAAACATAGGTATTATTTTAATTCTCTTGGCTTGTAGGTGGCCGCCTTCTTGCTGTGTGCTCACATGTCCTCTTTTTTGTCTGCATCTTACCACTTTTTTTAAAAACCAGATCATTAGGAACATGAAGAAACACAAAGTCCAATGATTAACCACTACCATAGATTTTTAAGGGGTCAGTTTGTTAAGCTAAGCAAATGAAAGATAGATATCACACTAACTTATAAGACATTGCACACAAGTAGGAAAGAGGAAACATTAAGTAAAAGTGACAATAATGACAATATTTAATATAATTATGAGAGAGAAGCAGGCCAACTTGTTAGGCAAGATCTGCTCTAGATTCTTTATTTTCAAATATATATGTCTGTTTTGAAACTTTGTCATTGTGTCCTTCTTCAACCCTGAATTTTATAGTTGTAGAAATCAAGATTTAAGGAATTTAGTGACTCTGCCCAGACTTGACAGCTAGTACATGACAGTAGAGTTATATTTGATAGGTAGTTTTTAACAAGAAAACCTTTAGCCAAAATTAGATATTGCTTTATAAACAAGTCAGGGTATTTTGTACCTAATTTTTGTGATCTAATAAATTCTCAGCATATTCCAACGAATTAAACTGAAGAATGTAATGGTAACAAAAATGTATGTAAGCACTTTCTGTATAAATATTCATTAAATGTTTGGAGCTTATTCTCTTAACAGACATTATTCTCTTAAAGGTAGACATTAAATTTCAGGTCTTTGTTATATTTAGTTGGCTCCTAGCCCTAATTTGTTAATGATGATCTTTAAGTACCCAGTAAGGGTCTTTCTACTTCCCTCTCACTCTCTCCCCTTTCTCTCTCTCTCACAAAAGATCCACACCACACCATGAATGACTTTTCTTTCAGTTTTCTCTTAATTTGGTACTACTTAATTTACATCAGTAAAGTTACTGGTTTTGAGTAGGGAAATTCAAAGAGATTTATCTGAAATAGTTTAAGAATTAAATTATAAAAGCACATTTATAAACAAAGTATTTTTAATTTTCTGTATTTGTTTTTCATCATATGAAAATTAATTGAACATCTCCTTACTTCCCCCCCCCCCCCCACTTTTCCAGGTCAAATTGTCCAAAATGTGGCTCTACTGGTGAAGCTGAAAATGTCAGCTACAGATACAGACTTTCCTTAAAAGTTGCAGAATCAAACAGATTATTTGGCATTACTGTATTTGGAAGCTGCTTAGATACATTTTTTGGTCTTACAGCCACTCGTTTGTACAGGTGAGGATATTTAAAGCATTCTTTTTCTTAACTGGTCTTTTAGTACATCGGTGGAATTTGAAGAGAAGTATTTTTAAGATAATTCACATTTAGTAAGATCACTCATTGCAGATGATCAATTCCTTAGAAGAAAATCAAGTGAAAAATAGGAACATATTTCTGAATACATATTATGATGAACTAGACTCATTTTATTCAAGCCATCTAAAACTATAATTGGAATATTAAATTCTAAAATTCTAATTCAAGTTGGAGAAATATAGAAAAAAGAAAGTAAAATTGTTTCAAACTGAAAGAATATCTAAATTGAGGTTAACATTCAAAAGTGACTAAGATCCCTTGAGGCAGAAGAAACTATTAGAGGAAATATTTGCATATCAGAAATTTTGTCATTTCTCTCACTTGCATTACAACTTCATTGCTTAGTTTGACCTATTAAGTTGATGCAAGGAGATCTATATATATAAGCTTTTGCACCCCCTCGGTCTTCTACCCTGCTCCCCTAATCACTTGATAGAAGAAATCTCTGTCCCTATCCTTGTTATTGAGCGTCAACTCATTTGAAAAAAGGGACAAGGGAAGGCGCAGAGCCAAGATAACCAGGGAAGAAGGAAGATTTCCCTCTGCCTCGAGAAGAAGGGCTGCAGTAGAGACCCCAGCACTGCGATGACTGCCGCCCTCAGGATGATCACAGGGTCTGCTGAGTAGGCAGGCGACTGCCTCCTTCACACTGGAGCACTTGTTTTCTTCCTTCTGGGCTGTGGGCGTCTTTCTAGGCCAGGGAAAACTATGGGGACAAAATACTCTTAGAGTCACTTTTTTTCTCTTAACTCAAAAGGTTCATGCTGCATTTTTAAACTGTGGTCTGGCTTTACAGCAGGCTAAAATATTAGTTCTTCACCTTTTTAATTTTCTTTCCAATCAAGGTACCTGCAGCATCCTAATGAAATTCCAGGAACACTGGACAGCAACACAACTCAAAACCTATTAACTAAAGCTGTAGAAACTTGCTTTGTCGGACGGTGCTTTATTTTTGGAGTGACGGTAATTGAAACTAGCTTTCTTTTTATTCTGTTAAAAATGTCAGTAGTAATGAAGTGATTTGAATTTTCTAAATGCTTTTCAGGATTCATACTCTGAAGGCCTGGAGAAGCACTTTAAACTATGTAATGTTTATTTTACTCTCCAAATTGTGTTCAAATTCTGTAGTAAAACTTTAATCATCTCTAGCTTTTTAATTTTATCATTGATAGAAGAGGAGGGAGGGAACTAACGCTGAAGACAATGTGGCTGAGTATTAAGAACTCTTAAGAATGTATTAGAGGGCCTCCCCGGTGGCACAGCGGTTGAGCGCTGGGTTGCGAAGCTGCCGGTGGCCTCTGCAGCGCCGGTTCGATCCCCGGCTACTCCCCGGCCACCAGAGGAGGGTCCCACATGGCGCGCAGACCTCTCCTGCCGCCCGCTGCTCCCCTCAGCAGTGTACTTCGTTCCTTCTGCCTGCTCTGCTTCCTGCTCTGGCTCTGGTGAATTCTCTCACCCTCCCGCGCTTCTGACTGTACCCAGTGCATGTATAAACAAAACAAACAAACAAACAAATAAATAAATAAATAACATGCCTCTATTAAAAAAAAAGAATGTATTAGAAAGGACAGTTTTAAATAATTACAAATGTGATTTGACAGTCACTCTCCAGTCACTGTAGAAGATGTTAAGAGAATCTACAGACACTGAAGGGGTAGTCATTTTGTCTGGTCTATATGCTAAAGGAAACAAGTGGAAATTTTATCTACACTAAATTGAGGTTTCAAAAAGAGGAACAGAGTACTCCATAACTGAAAAGTGAGAATCCAAAGGGACGGTGAAACCAGAATCTACAGAACTTCTCTTTGTTAAAATCTTAAATGGTTCTTTCTCTTTCTTTTTCCCTTACCAGATCAGAACATTTCCTTAAACTTAAAGTTTATGGAAGTTAATGAGAAAGATAATAGTGCCTACCACTTACTGGGACCTATTTACTAAGTATTTCAGTTTTCCATGTGTTTTTGCTAATGTACTGATCCTACATTTTTATCCTTATTTTATAAGTGATAAAACTAAGGCTAAGGTTAAGTAACTTCTCCAAAGTCCCAACATAAGTGGATATTAGAATCAGGATTTGAAGACAAGTCACTACTTCAAGGTTTAATTCTCTTTGGGCTATTCTGCCTATAACAATAGAGGAATTGAAATTATGGGCATGAAGGCTAGAATTGTACCTGTTTTAACCTTTTAAATCCCTGTTTCACATTTGAGTCAGAGGAAGAAAATTTTATTCTCATTTAAATTCATCTTCTTTTCACAGAATTTTGAAAACCACCATGGACGAGGTTCGGATTCTAGTCATTTCCTAAAGCAGTGCCTTGACCGTAAGAGAGAAGTTAAAGCACTGGTAGCTTGCCAGATCCTTCTACCATACGCAGGTGTTGCAGGTTTCACTGTCATTGATTATTTCCATCAGCTTTTGTACCTTTCTGGTTTCAGAAAACTTCACTGTGGCTCCCAGACAACTAATAGCCACATTCTTGCTTTAGAACAGTCAAATAGTGATCTCAGCAGCATATATGGCTCTGACAAAATTTCTAGTTTTGAGTCCCATGTCAGAGATGATGTTTCAAGACTCTGGCAGTCATCATTTGAACTTACTTCCATTATTTCACAACTAACAGATAGTGATGACTTTTCGGCTTCAGAACCAAGCAAGGCCACTACTACTCATCACCAGGACGCACAGTGCATCTCCTTTGTCAAGGCCACTGGTTCCAGTAGCTGCTGTGACACCATTCAGGGTTCGTGGAGCATTGTTTCATACGAGGATAAAAAGACTGCAGCACAAAAGTCGGGTAAAGAGCTTGGTTTACAGACTAATCAGTCAAGTATAGTTCACAACAGTCATCATGAAATTGGAATTACTGACTGTGATTTATTTCCTTTGAAAACGCAAGAGCCCATTGAGCCAAAAAATAAAAAATTATTTGACAGTACAGTGGAAAGTAGATACTCCCAGCGTGATCTGACATGTTACCAGCATCACGATGTGGATACTACCCCTCATCTTCAGGAGATATCTGCATGTTTTCCATCTTTATCACTCAGAATTAAAGAGTTACCTACTGCTTCCGAGGATGGTGACCTGGAAATATGGGATGATCTGCCATTTTCTGAAAGCCTGAACAAGTTTCTGGCAGTTATCGAAAATGAGATTGCTCTATCCCAGACAGAAGCCAGTAGTAAGAACAGTGACCTAGGTAATGACATCAGTGAAGTACGTGAAGACCACAGCAGGTTATCTGTAACTCCCCAGAGAACTACTGAAGCCTTTCATATGCCACCTATCGCATTAAGATCATCACAGGCAAACTCTAGCAAAGATAACTACCTTTGGAATTGTGAAGCTGATCCATGCTCTCGTGTTCAGAAGGCGTCTCAACCAGGTAACACGGAGGCTGTCACTATAAGTAAAAATGGAATAGATACTTCCCTACCACATCTGTCAGCTGTGTTTCCACCTTCATCAAAATATTTAGAAACAGCAGTCACTTTTCAGAAGTCTGCCAGAATTCCATCACTTACAGCTGAAATTTCACATACGCATCATACATCACAAAGTGACCATTCTTGTCTCAATATCAAATATGTTCATGATCGTGAAGAAAATTCCCTTTCAGAAATAAATGAAAAGTTGACAATTTGGCATTCCAAGGGGTATAAGGATGTTTCTGACCTTTGCAACCTAGAAAATAAACAATATAGGTGGGCAAAGAACCAAGGTGATAGTTTTGCAATTTGTAGGAAACTTACATACCCTTCAGACACTCTTTTCAGTAGTCCAGATAGAAGTACAGATACATTGAAAGAAATGCCTTATGAACACATCAATGGTAATGTAACACAGAACTGTTCTTCTAATGATGAAGGTAGCTACAATGCTTCTGCTGATCTCTTTGATGATAGTGCTAAAGAAGTGGACATTGAAACAGAAATGAGCAAAAAGTCAAGGGGTAATTTGGTACAATGGGGAAAGTCTTTGACAAAAAGTCACCATAGAAAATACAATTTTTCACTGAGATCACTTTCTGAAAACTCTATCCAGTCTTCACAAAAGTTATCCTTGCAAAGCACATCTGCCTCTTTGTATCCAAAAACTTGCTTTTCTTCACCTCATTTTCAGTCAGATTCAGAATATGATTTTGAAGATAGTCAAGACTTCATTCCGTGTTCACAGTCAACTCCAGTTGCAGGATTCCACCAGACAAGAATTCATGGAATGAACAGGCCTTTTAAAAAATTGCCTGCCTTTAAATCATATCTTGATGTTAACTACAATAAAACAAGGACTTTCTCTGAAAATAACAAACAGCAAGCTACCTCCAGCTGTCACGAAAATATTAAAACACCCAGGCAGAAATCCAGGAGTCCTGTTTTATCTAATATTATACAACCCGTGGATTTCAACAACTGTCTTACTCCTGAGTGCCTTGAAACTGATGCTGATGAATGGGTCCCTCCTTCCACAGAGAAAAGATTTCTTTCAGAAATTCTTGAATTGCAAGCCAGGGGTTTGAGGAAATGCCTTGCTGCCTGTAATTCTCCTGTTTCAAAACAGTTACCAAGAAAGAAACTGAAATATATCAAACAAAGAACTAAAAAATGTTTAATTAAGGAGTTAAGTACAAATTCAGACTGGATTTCCAAAGGGTCAGTTTTAGGACTTGGTTCTTGTTCAGCAGTCAAATGTTGCCTTCCATATTCAGAAAATTGGCCATTTTCAGTGTCTGAAAATAAAGGTGCTTGGTCTCCTGAATTGTTTTCCCAAAAAATCGGCTGAGCCAATTGCTCAACTTGTAAAGGTAAGTCTATTTGGAAACTTCTGCTTCCAGCGGTTTGCATAGCATTCTGGCCATTTTGAACACTTACTTAAAAAGAAGCAAATGGAAAAGAGGTACTGTTGTTCCTTTTAAAATGTTGTAAAGCCATTTCCTCCCCCAGTGTTTTAACCAGAATACTTTGATTCCGTTAACTTGGCACTTTATCTTATCTGGTTGATTATCTTTAGTAATATTGTTAATTTTGCTCGTGAGAAGTATTTGTTAAAATCACATGTACATTTAGAAATAAAGCCTTTGCAACCAAAACTTAGTCTTAATTGATCAGCTTACACCAGAAAATGTCTGGTATGTATTAGGCCAAATACTGTAGTGTAAGTGCCCTTTATTATAAGAATGCTATCAACTATTTTTGAAAGGATGTGAAATAAATGTATATAAACTTTAAAATCTACTCTAGCTTCAATTCATTAAGCACTTGCTACCATATAATTAGTAAAAAGGTAATGTAAAAGTATAAATATAAACTGCTAGTTTTTATTTCCCTAGAGTGTTTACCAAGGAAAACAAAATATAGACTACTAAATTTAACGGGGTAATTTAAGATGTATGGTTTTCTACATCAGCATTATTCATTTTAACTGATTTTCTGAAAGGCGTAACTATACCTTTATGACAAATTTTACATAGGTACCAGAATATTAAGTCGTATCATGACCACCCACACTTTTCTTTTAGTTACTCATCATTAAGGAGTCAATAGCCGTATCTGGAGCTTATACTTATGTGCAGCCCCTCTGTCAGGTTCTATCTTCATCAAAAAGTATTCAGCAGATTGTTTATTAAATTCCAAGAATATACCTGACATTGGTAGATTTCAGTCCTCAAGATGCTCATACTCTAACAAATGATGGCACATACTTTATATCATTTAACATTCACACCATCCTCTGAAAGAGGTATTATTATCCCATATCCTCTACTTTCTGTAAAACAGAAATAATACCTCTTAAAGCTGCTGTGAGAGATAAGATAATAACTGTGAACATGGTTCCTGCCGTCAGTGTTCCTTCCACACCACCACACCTGTCAGTGTAAGAATTTTCTTTTCTTTCCACCTACTACTTTATCCCTTAGATTCCATTTCAAATTAGCATCTGCTGTATAGTTTCGATACCTTCAGCCTATTCTAATTCCTTGTAGCCACCATCGCCTTGCGCCGTCAGTCTTCTATTAAAATTCAGTCCTTTTCTGACCCCATCCTTCTCTAAGCACCCAAAGTAGTTTTTGAAATACTTCATCACTGATATTGGTGTGAATTCTATAGAAAACAATTTGGCAGTATCTATGAAAAATTTTAAATCCATGTGCCTTTTAAAAGCAGATATTCTGTACAGCATTGTTTGAATAGCAAATTAGTGAAGCAAATATCTATCAGTAATGATTTTACATGTGTAGAGTATTGCTGGAAGGATACACAAAATCTATTGAAAAAAAAAGCAAAGTACAAAACATTGTATTTTAAAAATATATAATCATGCATATTTCATGAGTTCATAACAATATTTTAAGAACGAGTCACCTTCAATTGATGATAGAAAACTAATTACTGGAAAAACTGATAAAAACAAAGGGAAAGAAATATCTTTTATATGAACTCTACTATTGAATAACTAGATGAGAAGTTCTCTTTATAAAAAAGACAATACATTTCATACATGATAGAAATGTAATATAAATGATAGAGATGGAATATCACCATTTTACAACTCCTAATGAATAATGGATATACTCATTGAGCATCGATGGCTGCTAACATTCCAGAAAGAGACAGACAGGAAGTTGTTAGTCTCCTGACAAAAGAATATATCACTTCCTTTAATCTTAATGAAGGGATTGAACCTGAGTTTTATCATGCCTCTCAACCTAGCTGTCATTTTGCAAAATATACAGCTGACCAAAAAAACCATGCAGGCTTACACCATAAAAATGAAATCAGCAAAATCCAGACTGAGAAACAATTTGTCAAACAGCCCATCTTCTTGATTATAAGAAAAAGAAATAGCAGGAAGAGGAACCTATAAATCAATTAAAAGACTTTTTTTTTTTAATGGACAAAACTAAACTCTAGTGCTTGGAAATACACACTTGTTTGTGTCAATTCCTTGATTGCTGTGAAAGTCAAGTGAGCAGTGTCTTTGAGGAAGAAAGAAGAAGCTGGCTAAGTCTCATGACTCAAAGGGTGTGTTTACCTTATAGTTTGTTAAATGATCCACTCTTCTGCATTCACAGTTTATATTGATTTTTATTTTAATAGCTAAAAAATGTAAGAATGAGCATTGTAATGAGGGAAGCAAAAGGCACTGACTTGGAGCATCTCTGGGCAAATCCTCTTAGATAGTTTATATACTTTTCATTTATTCCTTACAAGTAGCCCATGAGGACTGAGGAAGTTACCCCTGCCTCTATAGTGAATTTATGAAGGTAAGTAACTCAAGGCCAGGGCCACATCACTAATAGGTGGCAGAACCCAAGCTCTGACTTTTCCAGTATGCTGCCCTGCCTCAGGCTTAGGGGGATGCTGGCAGCACTTGAGTCTTTGTCTCAGGCATTTCTCTGTGATCAGTGGTTGCAGCCACTTGAATAAGGTCAATTGTAGGTTAAATATTATGCAATGTTTTTGTCTGATCTAGTTCTTGCATTCTCAACCTAAAGGGAGTGAGTGAGTCTGCTTCCTGGTAGATAGCCATCTTTTTGCTGTGTGTCCGCACATGGTGGCAGAGGGGTAAAGGAGATTTCTGTGACTTTTAATAAGGGCATTTAGTCCACTCATGACGACTGTTCCTTCATAACCTGATTACTGCCCAAAGGCTCCACCTGCAGATACAATCACATTGGAGATTGAACATTGGCGGGGGAAGGGGAAGGGTGGTATACATATGAGAATTGTCTGCATGGGAGAGAAATGAAATCTAAAAAAATCTTGCTTTTTCCCTGATAGGTTCCAGTCTGTTTCCTGAGTTTCTATAGGTACCAAGCTTAAGTGTGTGCCCGCTTGTCTTGTCTCTTTTCCTCACAACTCCACTGGTTGAAGCATTTTCTGCTGATTAACTAGATGCACCAGCTCCACCAAGAGCCAATGTTTGTCCATCCCTTACCTGCCTTGATGGGAGATAACTCACAACATTGCAAAACCCAAGGCTATCCAGGGAACGCTTCATTTTGTACATAGAAACATAAGGGCTGAGGGCCTGGGTAGATAAAAACAACAGTGCCTGGAAAACAGATCTAGATGCTTCATAGACCAGCTATTTGATTCTGACACAAAATCATCCAACAAATAGCATCATGAAAACATAGTATCCAAGATGGCAAAAAAGAGACCTAAAAATGAAGCTCTAAACTTAAGGTCCATGTTTTTGGTAAATAACCATAGTTCAGCAAATTTTAACCGGTTACTTGTCTCAGGGTTTGCAGTTTGGTACCAAATGAAGGGACTGATTGAAAACATTCAAACAAATAATAAATTCAATAGGGCTGGTGGACATGATTGATTTAACCTGGAGTTAATAAATGCCACTAGGGCCTCCCCTGGTGGCACAGCGGTTGAGCACTGAGTTGCGAAGCTGCCCGCAGCCTCTGCAGTGCCAGTTCGATCCCCGGCCGCTGGGCGAGGGTCCCACATAGTGCACAGACCTCTCCTGCCGCCCGCTGCTCCCCTCAGCAGTGTGCTTCGGTCCTTCTGCCTGCTCTGCTCCCCGCTCTGGCTCTGGTGAATTCTCTCACCCTCCTGAGCTTCTGACTGTACCCAGTGCTTGTATAAATAAATAAATAAATGTTTTAAAAATATATAAAATAAAATAAATGCTGTTGAAAATGTGTTACAACTCTCCTTGATCTTGGGTTATTTCTTTTTTGGGGGTGGGGGTATTTCTTAGTTGATAAAGGTAGCATGCATATGGTTCCTCTGATAGTAAATCTGTAACTCAGAGTAAACAGTCAGCCTGATGAACTAGAGACCACCTGTAATATACTGACGGTGACCACCCTTCCTCTTGTCCCCCAAATTTGTATGTTCAATCTCCAATGTGATTGTATCTGCAGGTGGAGCCTTTGGGCAGTAATCAGGTTATGAAGGAACAGTCGTCATGAATGGACTAAGTGCCCTTATTAAAAAAAGTCACGGAAATCTCCTTTACCCCTCTGCTACCATGTGCGGACACACAGCAAAAAGATGGCTATCTACCAGGAAGCAGACACACCAGACACAGTCTGCAGGCAACTTCAGTGAACTCACTCTTCATAACTGTGAGGAATAAATTTCTTTATTCTTTTTTTTTTTTTTTTAGAGATTTATCCATTTATTCTTGCAGAGGTTGCAGATAACTTCACAGTGCTGTGCTTAACCCCTTGCACCACCAGGAGGTCCTGAGGAGTAAATTTGTTTCTGTAAGCCATTTAATCTATTTTCTTTTTTTTGTTGTTTTTAAAGATTTATGCATACAAGAACTGGGGTACAGGCCAGAGGTGCAGGGGGTGAGAAGGTTCACCAGAGACAGAGTGGGGAGCAAAACAGGCAAATTGACTGAAATACACTGCTGAGGGGAGTAGTAGGTGAGACAGGAGAGGTCTGCTGTGCCATGTGGGTCGCCTCCCTGGCCAGGGATCAAACTCGTGCTACAGTGGCTGTGGAAAGCTTCATAGTGCTGACACTTAACCTTGCGCCACCAGGGAGGCCTTAGTCTATTTTTTTATAGTGACCTGAAAAGACTGACATCTTTCAATGGCCTGTAAATAATTATTTCATATATATAGTATGACTTTCTACATGCCAGACACTATGGCACTTGTGATAATTAATCCTCAAAGTAACATTGTGTAGCAGGTGGTATTAGCTCAATTTTAGAGAAGCAAAAATTTGAGACAAAGATAAAATTACTTGTTCAAGGTCACAAACAGTATATGGCAAAGCTGGAATTCAAAAATGGCTTCTGTCTCTAAATCCATGCTGTCCCCACAAATACTACAGCAAAGACTACTGACAGGCCACTCTAATAACCATACTCTGCTCCTTCCTCTGTAATAAATCCCCTAGTCAGGAGAGCAGTATGCCCTGTTGAAAGACATATTCTCCAGTGTCCCTTGCAAGTCAAGTTCTGGCCAGAGACCTAAGTGGAAAAGTTACATGGAACTTTGAAGAAGTCTCTTGAATAAAGGGAGCTGGCCCTTCCGTCTTCCTGCCTATTGCTGAGGATGGGACAAGATGACTAGCAATCCAGCTGCCATCTTGGATACTAAGGTGATCTTGAAAATAAAAAGTCCAGGTAACTGGACACCATGAAACCATAGTAACTAATCCCAGGCTGCCAACCACTAGACATCTTTTACATGAGAGAAAGAAACCCCTGTATTGTTTTCCTGGATTTTTTTTTTTAATAATATACAACCAAATAATCCTAACCTATATACCACCTGTATTAGTAGTCCACCCAGCTACTGCCTTCCACGATTTTCTCAGGCCAAACAACTCTGCTTTTAACATCCCCCTGGTTAGTAAAACAGCTATTTGTGACTTTACTTGTTAATATTATGCTTTAAAAATAACATAAAAGCCCAAAAAGAAGATACTAACAATTGTATTGCCTTCTATAGTTTAAGTACCTATATTATCTCCATGGTCAGTATTTCCTACATCTAGATGCCCATAGATCCTGCCTGCCTTCTTGCTTATTTATATCAATTGTCTTGTGGTACTTAAAGCTCATCCTTCCCCTTGTGTACTCAGAATCACCACTGGAGGTACTGTCTTCCTCATATCCTAAATCATTCCATGATCATTCTCACCAGTGCTAATATATTCTGCTGTAAAAACAAAATTCTTGTGACCTCACACTCCTGTCAACACACTTATCAGCAAAAATTCCTTAAGCTTATACTGTAGTCACTATCCATCTCTTCTGACTCTGAACTCAAAAGAAGTATTCTTTCATCCCCATCACTTTACTTTCAGTGTCACCAATATGACTTTCATGTTGCTAAATCCAAGGGCATCTGTTAGGCTGAGCACTTTTTAATCAGCAACATTTGACATAGCTCACAGCCTCCTTGAAATAATTTCTTCACTAGGCATACAGACCACAACTCCTTTCGCTGGTTTGTGTTCTGTCTCTTGCTGGTTCTTTGTTAGCCAGACTAAATGTTGGAGTACCCCAGGGTTCAGACCTCAGGCTTCTCCACTTATACTCACTTTGGCAACATCAGTTTTATAGCTTTCAGTAGTATTTGTAATAATTTCAATCTCCAGCTCAATGCACAAATTTCAATCTCTAACCCAATGCACAAATTTCAGACACAAAACAAATTGCAAGTCAGTATCTCTATTTGGGTATTCAATAGACATCTCAAACTTGACAGGTCCTAAGCCAAACTCCTGGTTCACCCACCCACCAAAACTACTTCAGTGTGCCATGTCATGAATAAGTAAATGTCAATATGACACTATTAGTTGTATAAGCAAAAACATCATGGGCATCCTTGATTCCTTTTGCTCCATAAGCAAGATTTGTATGCTCTGTCTTTAAAATATATACATAGGGCCTCCCTGGTGGCACAAGGGGTTGAGCACTGCACTATTAAATAATCCCCAGCCTCTGCAGCACGAGTTCGATCCCGCCAGCCTGGGAGCAACCCACATGGCAAGGCAGACCTGTCTTCGCCTGCTGCTCCCCTCAGCAGTGTATTTCAGTCAGTCTGCCTGTTCTGTTCCCCACTCTGTCTCTGGTGGGTCTTCTCACCCCCCACATCCCTGGCTGTACCCCAGCTCTTATATGCATAAATGAATCTTTAAAAAATAAAATATATGCATAACCCATTTTTGATTATTTAAAACTTTTTAAATTATTTAAAACTTCTTAAGATATGATATAGTGGTTGTTTTAAAACTTTTACCTTTTAGTGATACTAAAATATTTCTAGATGAAATTGTAAGCTCTGTGGCTTTGCTGCAAAATAGTACAAAATGGAGAAAATGAATGAAAATACAGATGAAATCAGATTGACCATGACTTGGAGGGTGATGTGTACTAGGAGGTTCGTTATACTATTCTCCTTTGATCTGTATTTGACATTTTCTATGATAAAGTCTAAATGTAGCCAGAATAAGTACTTCCTACAATCTCCACAGCTACTCCTGCGGTTCAAGTCACCTTTCATCTGTATTGCAGCAGATTATAGCAGTCATTTCTCTAAATGGACGCCCTGCTTCTACCTTTGTTCCTTTATAATCTCTCCCCAGCAAAGCAGAGTGGTCCTGTTAAAATAGGCGAAAGCACTCCTGAACTCAAAACCTCCCAAGGGTTGTCTTCTCTGAGCAATATTCAAAGTCCTTGCAGTGACATCTGAGGTGCTACAATCTATGTCACCATTTGCCTCAAACCCTTGCCTCCACTCATTTTCTTGTAGACATATTGGAATCCTTTCACCTTAAGGCCTTTGCACATTCTGTTCCCTGTTTCTGTCTAGAAAAGTGCCTAACACTTGGGGCCTCTCTGGTGGCCTAGGGGTTAAATCTTAGCACTACCACTGCGAAGGCCCACCACGAAGGCCTAGGACCTACCCACATGGCCCAGCAGACCTTTCCTCTCTCCCCTGCTGCTCCCCTCAGCAGTGTGTTTCAGTCGATTTGCCTGTTCTGCTCCCCACCCTGTCCCTGGTGAATCCTCTCATCCCCCTGCATCTCTGGCCTACATACCAGTTCCTCTATGCAAAAATAAAATCTTAAAAAAAACAGTGCCTAGCAGTTCACCAAGACATGCATACCACTTCCTCTCATTTCCTTCAGGTCCTCCCTTTTCCAGTGACACACTATCAATAGGGACCACCCTTGACCAGTTTATATAAAACGGCAACAATCCCACATCACTGCTTCTCTTCCTTGCCCTGCTTTATTTTTTCCATTGTAATTACATATACCTGGTGTGATTGTATTTTATTTTCTGCCCCTCCCATACTATGAAGTAATTTCCCTGAAACTTTTTAGAAATGTTGCCCACTGCTATAGTTCCAGTGATTAGAATACTAGTCAGTATATAGAAGGTGCTTGATAAATTAATAAAGGCCAGCACTGAGATCCTCACCTTCAGATACTTGCATCTTCAGCCTTTGTACTTTTCATTCCTTTTGCCTAGAATACTTTCCACGTTCAAAGCAAGATCTCAGTCTTTGTCTTCCATCAGAAACTGCACTTTCTGCTCCCACTGCTGAAAGCATTTCAGAAGATTACAATGAGGATTAAATGGCAATGTGAACCTCAATATACGTTATAGAGTCTTAGGCCTCATACAGTTGTTCCAGTGGCATCTAAGATCAAAGTCAGAAGGATTAGCCTTTCTCCAAGCTTATGCTTTTTGGGTTGTTTGTTTTTGTTTTTTGTTTTTTTAAATCTAGATGTGGGAAGCCGGAATAAATTCCAGGTATGAAAATTTAGATACAATGTCTTATGTTACTAACATGGAACTTCCAGCAAGTAACGGAAATAAGATATTTCAGTTCTTGAAGTATTCAGAGGTGAACATCTGGCCAAAAGCACAGCCACGTGGTTGTGGTTTAAACATAGTTCCATGTTTCATCTCTCAGCTGCAGATGTATTTGGGGATGTGTGTGTGTGTGTTATATTTTATACAGTATATCAGGCATATCCTGTCAGTTTGATGTGGAATAGCTGAGTCAACTAATGATAGTGATCCTCGAGATTTTTCAACACTGTTTTACCAATTGCCAAGGAATTATGTATCTGAAGCATTACATTGCCAAAATACAAAGCACAGTGATAGAAACATTAGGTACTTGTGGAATAAACCATATTTATACTTTTATTCCAGTGATGCATAATGATTTGTACATGAATAATGACAAATTATTTTCATGTTTGAAATTTGTCCCATGTATCTAATGGACAAACCAAAGTGTAAGGTGAGACAGCTTGTTCAAATTAGTTAGTGGCAAAAAAACAAACCAAAACAAAATAGAATAAAACAGTTAAAAGTCGATGTCTCCTTTTCAGCTACTGGCATTTGCCTCCCAGTCTTTGCTGCGTATGACTTAGGCTGCTGCATATTAAAATCATAAAAAATTGCCAATATCTGACTGTTTTTGATCTACAAAAATACAATTTCATGTGGTTCAGATTAATGTCAATAATAGAACACTAAAAACCACAGCCATGTGTAAATTCAGGAGAGAAGTTTCTACAAACCTTTTTATGAAGGTGCAAAAATAGTAAAATTAAGTTTCATACCAACTGCAGAAAAGCTGCCAATAAATAAAAACATATATTAAGTGGCTTTGCAAAGGCCACTACTTTCTACATGTTAAATGATCACAAATAATGCTACAGATTGGCTATGCTCAGTTAACTGAAGAACATCATGCCAGGGAGCCCAAAGCTTTAGGTTTAATCCCTTTAATAGAGCTAACCCTATTAACTCTACCATGTTCCGTGACCCACTGTACACATTCTTAATCCAAGACACTCATTTCTCTGGTACATGTTCCATGGTAGAAGGTAGAATGAGGGTGAATTTTTTTTGTTTTTTGTTATAGATTTTGTTTTTTTATTAATTTTTTTTCTTACATTGTTGTAGTCCCCCTAGTTCTGCCAACATATCACCTGTGAACCATCACCATATTCTCTTGTGTTCAACCCTGCCCTGTTTTGCGCCCTACCATTCTCCCCTTTGCTGTATGCTTCAGTTCTATGGTCAGCTTGCTAGTTTTGACTTTTTCTTGACCTTTTGTTTGGTTTCTCCATATTCCATATATAAGTGAGACCATCCAGTATTTATGTTTCTCCTTCTGACTTATTTTGGCTAGCTTCATCCCTCCAGCTCCATCCATGTCGCTACAGATGGCATGAGGTTTCTTTTTTGATCACTGAGTCATATTCCATTATATAAATATATCACAACTTTTGATCCATTCGTCTTATTTGGGGGCATTTGGATTGTTTTCATGTCTTGGCTATTGTAACTAGTGCTGCAATAAACATAGGCGTGCAGGTTTCCTTTCAAATTAGTGTTTTTGTGTCCTTTAGGTAGATTCCTAGGAGTGGAATCACTGGATGATATTTTAGTGTTCTGAGGAACCTCCAAAACAGCTTTCTACACTGGTTAGACCAGTTTACATTCCCACCAGCAGTGTAAGAGGGTTCCTTTATCTTCACATCCAAGATGAAGGTGAATGTTAAGAAAAGGTACAAATCCACATTTTCTTCATTGGAATTGGGAGACATCTAAAAGCATATTCCTGCATCTGCTTTATAGTACATGCTCAATAAAATGGTGGATAAGTGAATGTGGAATGAATGAATGCCTTAACGATGAATAGGTAGTCTTATATCTAACTACAAAAGATAATGATCTTGGGCCTCCCCTGGTGGCACAGCGGTTGAGCGCTAGGCTGCGAGGCTGCCCGCAGCCTCTGCAGCGCTGGTTCGTTCCCCAGCCACCAGCAAGGGTCCCACAAAAAAAAAAAAAAAAAAAAAAAGATAATGATCTTTAGTGGTATCTCCTAAGAATATGGAACCATATAATGTGTTTTAGCTGAAAGGGCCTTTAAATATATCTAATCTAATCTTGTGCACAAGTTTTGTAGAAGGGAGTATTAAGGCTTGAAATTAATTGATTACCAATGCCACACAGCTTCTCAGCATCAAAACTGTGACTAGAAATTTTAAATCCTGATTTTCAGTATAATACTCCTTCCACCTGCTCATAGGAGAAAGCATCTGTCTCACCACTAGAAATAATTATCACATAATTTTCACATCTTGAATATAGGGGAATAGGCTTTTGTAGCATCATATAATTGGAGGAGGCCTTAAAGATTATTTCACAAAGGAGAAAACCATGGTGCAAATGTCAAATGACTTGTCCAAGCTTAGACAGAGAATCAACACTCAAACTCACATCTCCAGATACTCAAACCAGAACACATTTTAAGTTACGTTGAAGGACATTAGTTAGCTAATAGCTTATTTGCTTTTTACATACTTTAATAGCATAGTAGCCTCCAAATGTGGGCAACAGGAAATGTTTATTTATATACAAGTACATGGGAAAACAATTTCATTCATCTTTTTAAAAATTTTTTGTTACAAATAAAAAGTTATTAATACATTCATCCTTTGCACACAAAATACATTCTTTTTACTTTGACTCTCAGTATGAATTATTTCTTAATAATAAAAACTTAAGCTACAATAGACAGGTGGTTTGGCGATTTAACAATCTTTTTTCAAGAAGGAAAATCCAAACTTTAAAAGGCAGTCTATATATAAAAGAAATTGTATATTAAAAATGCTCCTTCATTCAATCCTCGGAGACATAATGAGGGCTCCTCTCCAACATGGTTTCTAGCTGTCCTTTAAAACAATGCAGAGGATGTTAGGAATTCTCAATGTGATGACAGCTCAATTTCTACAAGACCAAAGCAGTGTTTATGAAATTGATTATCATTAAAAAATTCTTATGGACATCCGAGGGAATTAGTCATTATTCAAGGACCTCTTAATTAACCAGTCAATCTAAGATTATAAATTGCATTCCCTAAGTAGGCTTTTAAAAGGGTCTGCTTAAATGAACACAGATGACTTGATTTGCTAAACTAATTGATTTTAAGAGAGATGTGAAAACATATGCCTACACAGAGAACCAGAACACAAATATTCACAGCAGCATCGTTCATAATAGCCCAAAGGTGGAAGCAATCCAAATGTCCACCAAATGATCATTGGAAAATAGAATATAGTGTATACATACAATGTAAAATTATTTTGCCATAAAGAAAAAAATGCATTGATTAGAGCTACTTGAAATGTGAAAACATTATGCAAAGTAAAAGAAGCCAGACACAAAAATAGCACATTTCTATTTATATGAAATGCCCAACATAGGCACATCTATAGAAACTGAAAGTAGATGAGTGATTGCCATATGCTGGGAGAAGAGGAAGGAGGAGTGACAATTGGTTCAGAGTTTCCTTTTGAAATGATGAAAATGTTCTGGAGAAAGTGGTGATCTTGTACAACTTCTTGAAAATATGGGGAAAAAACACCGAATTTTACACTTTGAAGGGGTAAATGGTAGTGTAAATTATATCCATCTTTTAAAGGAGAGCTGTCACCTCATTTAAAAATACTTTGTTTCATTATCATTCCCTCTCCCCATACAACCCTCTTCCTACAGAATATTTTCTTTCATCTAATTCCATTCATATCATCATGGGCTTATATTTCCAACATCGAAAAACAATGTGAACACATGAAGCATAATAGAGTGCACTGTTAATGTCTGCATATGAGCATTTAAAATCAGTTTTATGCTTGTACTGAAGCTGGATTTTATATACTGGGGTATTCAGATATTGCTGGGAGCCTATGCTTACAACCAACAGCCAAATGTTAAGAACTGAGTTTATAAAATTTGATAATTAACATTTTTGTTAAAACTGTGTACATTAAAGATCCATGTTTTAATGGAAAGAGATAGGGAAAGGGAAATCCAGGATTCTCTGTCTTCATGAAACAGCTTCTCTAAATATTTTAACTAGCTGCCGAGAAGACCTCCGAAATTATATATTTTTCAGTTTATTTCATCCCTATACTAAAAATCATGCATTAAAGTGTGTGCAATAATATATATGGGGCACACTTTTTCTTTTTATCAAAAATCTCTTCTTAACCCTTATCTGAAATTTCAAAAATTTTTTTTGCTGAAAACAGCAACTTTACTCACACACTAATCCAAATACATTATTATGTATCTCCTTTACCTATCATCAAAAGCGCTCCAACCACCTGGTATATTTAGAGGACACTGCAGTGAGCAGAAATTAGAAGCCAGCATTCCAATGTCATTTGAAATTTTCTACAACAGGGACATAAAGTCCCAACACGCCTTAAAGGGATAAGAGGATTAAAAAAATTTAATGAATCAACTAACATTCATTTTTAATAGCCTACAAGAAAATTCCACTAGCACTCTGCAATTATATAGGACAAGAGAATATTTATTTCTAATGATTACACTCCAGAAAGCAATATATTTAGCAGCTATTTTTCAAAGGGCTTATCAAGTTTTGCTATTGGTATTTAATCCAAGCATAGCTGTGTAACCTTAAACAAAAACTGTGTACCAACTAGGGACAAATTTTCCTAACAGACCAGATTCTTATCTTCTGTCATTCTGTACATGAATTCTTTCTTTATTAGGCATTTGGTACTCCAATTTTTATTTCAGCACTTAGTGCACACATAGAAAGGGGAAGGAACCTTTGCTTAATTTGGTTGTTGGTAATAAAGTTCATCCACTAACGTCATAAATTCTAGAAGCAAATAACAGATCTGGGGTTCATGACTCCATTTTTATTAAGGAGGAAACACAAGCCACAACCAGAAGAATTCTTCAGAAGCACACTGTTATCAATTATAGCTAACAAAGAAAAATACATGTATAATTGAAAAGTTAATCAACAGTAAAATTAAGATATAAATCAAATACCAATTAGGAGCTAAGAGTTTATAAATGCCTATGCTGATATTCCCCAAGGGAATAATGATTATCACCTTACTGAGCTTTTCCTGACATTTTTTTTAAAGAGGCAAAAGGTCAATAATAAATGGCAAACATGACCCCTCAAAAGTAAGATAAGATCAACCCATTTTCGTTCACATGGACAGTTGGAATCAAGAACAAAGAGGTTTAAATTGCACTCTGAGGTATTTCAGTAATAAGGGTAAGTTTCCTGATAATGAAGAGTTTCACAACTCTGGAAGTGCCTATTGGGAAAGAGAGAAAATGAATATCTTTCCTGACGTCTGCACAGAAGTGAAGAGTCTCTTGGGGAACAGTAATGCCCAAAGGCAGAAGAATGGATCAAATGAGAGAATTCCTTTTAAGGCTCTTCAGAAATGCAGCTCTTTACTTTGAAGTCAAAAAGAATCCTTTGTTTTGTCCTAAGGATCTATACTTGACAAGGCTCTCCAAAGTCTGCTTTTAATTGAGAAGAAAAGTAGTATTTGCATGCTGTTTACCAAGCACTTTACTATCTTTCCATTTATCTAGTTTTAACAATAACTGACAGTTGTTATGATTCTATAACATAGACAACTGGTGTTCAAGAGATTGCACTTTGCATAAGTCACAACTACTTCATGGCAATGCCAAGTGTTTCCCTTCTCCACCTCACTACATCAAGTGTCAGTCACAGCCCATCAAGGAGTCCATCAGGGACTAGAATATAACATCTCAGAAAGTTCTGCTTTACTTAGTGGAAAAGGGAAATTTTGACTCAACCACCACAGGAAGTCAATTAAAGAAGAGGTGACTAGTTTTTGTTCTCCTCTTATCCAAAGAATTCCAAGAAGGTCTCACTCAAACTTGTATTTCTCACCAAGTAAAACCAATGATTTTTTTTTTAGACAAAGAGCCATCTGTAAGTCTACCAAGGATGCAAATTATTTTGCAAATGGAATCATTTGGGCATCTATCTTATTTGCAAGTATTGCTTACAGTTATCTCTAATTTCAAAGATGGGTGTTTTGTTCCTTTCTACATGAGCAATTTGGCCTCAGTTCTGCTAAAATCGTTTTCAGATCATGTTTTTTCAAGATAATGAAACTAACAAATCAAGTGTCATATAAGAAGTGTCCAAAATAGATGTTGGGGACTACTTTATGCTAGTGATCCACCAGCCCATATCTGATATAGGAGCTGAAAAACTTCATGCCACTATATTTATGGAATCTTTAACTGAAAAGTCTGTTCTCTTTAGGCTAAAAAGGCCTATCCTGAAGTCCTAAAAACACAATTATTCACTTAACTAAATATGGTTTATTTTTGGCAATTTTGTATTAATGAATAATTCCTGTGATTTTTATGTAACTTACTAAAACAATACCTCTTTAAAAATTTTAACTCAAAATTTCAATAAGACATGAATGAGCGTACTGACAAAGCAACCCCAGTGTTTTGAGCTAAGAGCACCTAGCCAATAGCCTTTCTATGGAAGGTGGGATACACTTTTGATAGAAGAGCAGAACCTTAAAAAAACTAACTGTGGGTAACAGACATCTAGTAGGTGATGAGGGGCAAAGTGCTGTAACAGAATTTTAAGTCAGTAAGTTGGTGTAACCCCCAACAAACACTGGGATCCTTTCCACATCATCTTCGCCAAGTTCCTACCTAGCCTGTGTTGGACACAGACTATTACCTGAGGCCCCTGTCCATGATGAACCAACTTGGGGAGAAAGTCCTCCCTGATATAGAGCCCAAACCTGTGACCTCTATTCATTGGGTCTCATCCACACCTTGACCCACAGTATCTTGCTCCAATGTACTAATTGTAGTCCTCTCTTTCCCAGGTGAAATCTCCCCAATTCTTCAAATATTCTTCAAATGTCTTAAAATTTAAATTCCTTCACCATCTTTGATAACAATATGCGTTTAGTTTCCAAGTTTGGCTCCTAAAATGCAATATTCCAACATTTGGACTTAAAAAAGAAGATAAAATGTCATCTCCCTTGTTATGAAATTACTATATTATCTGTTTGAAGGAATAATCTCTTAATTCAGTACGCTTTCTACCCAGGGTGAAAAATACAAGAGAAGGCAGCTTTCCTTCCAAACATCAATAGGCTCCTGTCACAGAAGTGATATCCAAAAAAGAAAAAAAATCATTATTTTAATCCCAAATTAGTGGCCAACTATACTGACTATGTGAGCACATTTTGTCTGAATGATGAATTACAAGTTTCTTCATTTCTTTTGATTGTCAGGGGAGCACCTAGTTGAGATGCTGTCCAATTCATGAATCATTAAATGAAGCCAATTAAATAGAAAAAATAAACATACACACACATAACTCCTGTCAGGGCCATGGTTGAGGAATGTAAGTAACCAGTTGCAGTTTAAAAAAATAAATCTAGAAAGAAAGAAATGTCAAGCCCAGAAGAGCTCTTCCAGAGGCTAACAGGACAGAGGCCCCCAGAGTACTTATGTCCACAAAATACAGTCTACAAAGCTCTACAGGATTAAGAAACAGAAAACTTCTCCCTTTAAAATCATTGGCTCGATATGTGGAAAAAATTAAGCAATTTTTTCCTGGTTGTAAGAAGATAGATCTCATTCATGTGGCTTGGTTTTTTAAAAAGGATGTTTTCACTTTAATCAGAAGACCAATTCAAAATCACTCACAAGTGGTATTTATTCAGAATTATTATTTTACTGAAAGCTGATGCTGGATCTGGACGGATCATGGAATAGCTTAAAGGGTAAATGAGTCAACTCATTGCTCTAACACTGGACGTCACCAGTGTCTTTCAACACCATTCGTTCAAGAACAGAAGAAAGAAGAATTCAGACCTTCATTAAACTGTGCCTCCTCCCTCCAACATGTCTAAAGTGCTTAACATAAATAATATTAGTCCTAATAGCTTATTTGGTCAGTGAATTTTACCTTTCTTACCAAACTCTAAATCAAAACTGGGCACATTGTCAAATCAACCCATTTCACTGCTATTTTTACTTCTTTTCTTGCCACTTTACTGAAGGAGAACTACTAACATGAGGTGGCTAAAAGATATGGGGAAAGGAAGATCAGGAAAAGTCAATGACCTAAGTATTCCACAGAAAGGAGAAATGGCTGTATATAATTAAAATTAAATGTTAACATAATCCAACAGGTGTAACAAAAGCACGTAAAGGAGTAAAATATTTTGCATAGACAAAGGTGAAAGCACAACCACCTGTGAGGGCACAGTCTACACAATGTCATAATAAAACATTTTATCAGCAAATTACATGATTTCATAGGTTGCCCCAAACCCGGCTCCATGACATGAATATGATGCATTTTCACTGGAACTTGAAAGAGGTTTTGTCATCTATTTAGTAACTTTATTAAAAGAATTAAAAAAAAAACCACCAAAAATGGAAGCAGACATGGACTCATATTCTCATTAGTCCGACCAAGTGAAGCTGAATTATGAGAAAGCAACTCGCTTTTTCATCTACCAATAAATGAGAATTTTTATTTAAGAAAGTGCTTCTTAGTAAATACTACCAAAACAATAGAACTAGGAGGCAAGTCAGTATGATTAAGTTCTAGGCTGGGTTAAAATGACCAGATTTAATGACCAGGCAATTTAAACTTCAGGGATCTCCTTAAACAAGTTCTATTTGTGAATTGCTATTTAATTGGAGAAGCTCTTCTTGGCACTAAGTCATTTATTCAACTAATATTTATTAAGCACCTACAATACTGTCAGGAATTATTCTCAAACTTGAGATACCTCAGTGAGTATATGGCCTAATCTGGAATTCAATATCTAAGGGGGAAAAAAAGTAAGGAAAATATCCCTACATTCTCATGCGGCCTGCTAATGGGCCATGGAGGGGTGATTGTATATTACAGAAAGGCTGGGAGGAGTAATTGGATAAAGGGGCCAAGAGCAGAGCTTTTGAATCCCCTTCTGCATCTGGTCAAGGATAAATAGCGGTGGCTGAGGCCCAGGGAATAGGAATTTCAGAATGCAAGTATGGAACTAGAAGCTCTTATTTTGCTACTACATTTTATCGAATCTAACAAAATCCTTTCCTCTAAGTTTACAGAGCAATTTTATTTTCAAGACACTTGCTGCTGTGAGACAAAGTTGGGTCATGACATGCTGGGGTAATTGGATTTGGGCCCTAAATGAAAGATAATAAAGCTAAACTTAGGGGAAATTTTTCTACAGTTTAAAAAGAGTTCCTCTGCGCAACTTAGACTTGTTATCTGAGTACCTTTAGTGACTGGTTTAGTGGCAACCATTATAAATTTTGGCTGGAATTTACTAAAATGATTTTTCTTTCCTGTAGAGACGGGTTCTAAAATAAAGGCAATTTAAACTTCAGGGATCTCTTACTCTTCCCCATAGGATCAGAACAAACACAGCAAGCCCCACCCAAAGTATCAGTCCCTTCAACAATAATTCCCATGAGCAAAAGACTGGTCACTCTGAAACCTGCTAGAGAAGTGCAACAAATGCTTTGTCAATATTGTCTCTTAACATGCCTCGTTTCTTTAAAATTAAATAGTTAAATAGTTTTCAAACATCAATATAACAGGATCAAGATCGCCACCATCCACAGCAGCAGTGGAATCACATATCATATGCTTGTTCTATTGCTCATCCCTCAGTTATGCTACAGAAAGCTACAGAAACATCTGACAGCTTCAACAGCATACAGGTTTAATTATTTTCTGAATCAGCATTTATATTAGACAGTATCAAAGGATGGCACTAAAAAAGCAGTAACATAAACAAGCAGCACGTTGTCTATTTTGAGTCCTGTTTTAAGACTGGCTAAACACCCACCTCCATTGGAATTGGAGATTGGCAGTAACCCGTCCAGAAAAGGCAGGGAGGAAAGACAGGTAGAAAGAAGGGCAAAACCAGGAAAGAAGGAAGAGAAAAAAGAAACAGAACATAAGTAATGAGCTTGAGAAAGTGACAAATGACAGTTTTACCTTCCATGAGCAGAATTTGTCTAAGGTTATCAGCAAAAATACAAATATGGTTCATGAGACTTTACATCTCTTGCTATTCTCACTTATACTAAAAACACCTACAAAATCCTGCGTCTGTCCAAGATGGATATACCAGGAGTAAAAGTCGTGACGGGCTCTCAAGGACCGTGCTCAGCTTGGACTGCTGCACCTCAGTTCCATTGTCCCACGGTATTCTGGTCAGGTCTGGCCTGTTTTCTCATACTACTCCCAATGTCTTAGAGCTAATCTTTTAAGTTAGCGTATCCTCAGCCATTCATTTCCCCCATTTTTCAAACTTTTCATTTGCTTACGGGTAGGAAAGATGAGAGAATAAAAGAAAATGGTTGAAATTTAGAGGGGATAGGAAGGGAAAAGGATTACTTTGCCAATAAATCCACCCTAGAAAAGGTAATAATGAGACTTTGAGAAAGAGTGCTGATTCATGGACTGCCCCCTGCTTTTTTTTTTAAATTTCTATTTAATACATTTAAGGACATCAATGTACTAAAATGTTTGGTCTGTAAAAGAGCAGAATCTTTAGCACCAAAAGGAGTCATGGAGCATATAGATTATTAAAACAATGATTGTTATTATTGGTCATGGGTAAAGGTTTCATTTCATTTTTTACATCCCAAAGTTCTTGAAAGTGCCTGTGGATAAGAGAAATAACACTTTTGAAATTCTCCATGGAGTCACAACACGCACCACAGAGGCAGTACTTGGCCTTTCCAGTTTTGGTTTATCCAGTAGACAAGAAAACCTGGGCTCCCAGAAGCCCTAAAGAACAGCCCCCACATGCACCCACTGGCGTGCAGGGGGATCCCTACATACAGTCCCCCCCCCGGACTGTGTTCAGGAATGCGCCTTTACTTGCTTTAAAAAAAAAAAAAAAAAGCAACATGCTCTGCAGATCATGGAGCCCCAAGTACAATGTTCTCCTTGCTCTGACTCCAGCCCGCAAAAGGGTGAAACCAGTATATATTCTGCTAACGCTGGCCTGTGGACGAGGCCCCGGGCCTGCCGTGCTTTGTAAGTTCAGGCACCCACAGAGGGTCCGAGAGCAGGAGCCACGGGGATCGCCAGGTCTCCCCAGCAATTCGTAACCCATCAGGGCAGCTGCTGGTTCTTTTTGCTGCTTCTTGCCTCCGCCTTTAGTTGAAATTACAGCAAGTCAAATAGCTGATGCTTTTCCCTTCTCCAGGTAAGGGCGAGGATACATTGTTCACAAGTGTGTTCTGCCTGGCTTCGCTGATGAGGCGGCAAGCTAAGTCAAGGAAGAGTTTCTCCACGTTGTCTGATTCCTTGGCTGAGGTCTCCAAATAGTACATGTCCTGAGCTTCTGAGAATTCTTCCGCTCTCTGCTGGGAAACCTCTCTCCTTTCAGCCAGATCAATCTTGTTGCCTAGAAGAGGAGGTAAAATCAGAGGGACTCATCAGATATGTAAAAACTGCTTTGTGGACCACGTCCACTGATGGACCTCATCCACTATGCGGACCATGTCCACCGATGCCGACTTGCTGCTAAGCTGTTTCCTATCCTGTCTCTTGTAAGGGAATGTGATGCCAAGTGTGGCCTGTGGTCATCTTGTGAGTCAGAATGTTTAATGGCGCCGCCTCATAAGACAGGAGCCTGTGGATGCCAGGGGTTTATTCCGGCACACACACACTGGCTGGGTTCACCGAAAGCCTAAAAGCAATGATCAGCCCACTTGTAAGATGGATTCCTATCATCTCAGCTGTGGCCTCTAATTGCAACTTTACTTTTCATTAAAAAGAAACAGTGCTTCAGTGAAAAACTATGAGTAAAACAAAAACACACCCTACGAAATGGGAGAAAGTGTATATCATACATCTGACAAGGGGCTGATATCCAAGATGTACAAAAAACTCACAGAACTCAACAATGACTAAAACAAACAACAACCTAATTAAATTAAACCTAAAAAAATTAAAAACCAATTAAATGAAAGGCAGAGGAGCTGGGTAGACACTTCTCCAAAGAAGACATGCAGATGGCCAACAGGGAAATGCAAATCAAAACCACAACGAGGGCCTCCCCGGTGGCACAGCAGTTGAGCACTGGGCTGCGAAGCTGCCCGCAGCCTCTGCAGTGTTGGTTCAATCCCCGGCCACCAGGCGAGGGTCCCACATGGTGCGCAGACATCTCCTGCTGCACCCGCTGCTCCCCTCAGCAGTGTACCTTGATCCTTCTGCCTGTTCTGCTCCCCGCTCTGACTCTGGTGGATTCTCTCACCCTCCCATGCTTCTGACTGTACCCAGTGCTTGTATAAATAAATAAATCTAAAAAAAAAAAAAAAATTTGAGAAAAAAACAACAAAAAACAAAACCACGACAAGATCTCGTATCTGTGGGGATGGTTCATATAAAAAAGACCAAAAACAAGTGTTGGTGAGGATGCAGAGAAAAAGGAACACTGTTGGTAGGAATGTAGACTGGTCCAGCCCCTATGGAATACAGTCCAGAGGCTTCTAAAAACATTAACTCTACCATATAATCCAGCAATTCCACTCCTAGTTGGAAAATGCAAAAAACACTAATTCAAAGAGATATATGCACTCCTATGTTTATTGCAACACTATTTACGATAAGAAAAAGTGAAAGAAGAGTGGATAAAGAAGACGTGGTATATAGACACACAGTGGAATACTATGCAACTATAAAAAACGAACTCTTGCCATTTGTGGCAAGGACAGAATTGGAGGAAATAATGCTAAGCAAAATAAGCCAGAAGAAATAAGACAAAAAACTGACAATTTGGAATATAGAGAACAAAGCATTGGACAAATGCAGTATGGTAACATACACCTGAAAGTATGTGATCTTCAATCTCTGAATCATATACAGTGTTGTAAAGCAATGCTATCTCAAAAAAAATATATATATTTAAAGATTATTTATTTATACAAGCACTGGGTACATTCAGAAGCACGGGAGGGTGAGAGATTTCATCAGAGCCAACAGGCAGACTGACAAAGTACACTGCTGAGGGGAGCAGCGGGTGCGGCAGGAGAGGTCTGCGCGCCATGCGGGACCCTCGCTGGCGGCTGGGGATCGAACTGGCGCTGTAGAGGCTGCGGGCAGCGTCATAGCCCAGCGCTCAACCTCTGCATCACCGGGGAGGCCCCCCCACAAAAAAAATTTTTTTTAAAGAATTCACATCAGGAAGGAAGGAGGGAAGAAATGGCACTTCTTGAAGAAATGGCTAATGGCTAATTCTATTTCTGCATCATGACAGAAGCACCCATTTGAAGAAGCTCCTACTGTCAAAGTCTGAAGCGTTAGAGTAATAAAAATAACTGCATGTGACTAAATATATTGAATCTATTAAAACATGTAAGTTAATAATGATGTTCAAAATATAAACAAACTTTGGTAGTTACTTTCAGAAATTACAAGAGCACCAACTCATTACCTTGAAAAACAAAAACACCTAAATCCGACCAGGTCTATAAATTTACCTATAAATCTACAAGAAATACAGATGATAGAGGAACATGTCATATGACAACACAAGTATGAAAGAAAATTCAGATTTAAAAATTCTATACAACAAAAATACACTTTAAATAAATTCCAATGGGTAAAAAAGTGATGACACAAAAGACATAAAAGCAATGACAACATATATATTATTTGAGTAGAGTTTTGACTGAAGTTCAAAAGGGTTTTCTATGGAACAGAAAGTTCAAGTTCAGAGATGGGGGTTCCAGTGCGTCATTGCAAAGCTTCTCCAGTAAGAAAGGGGGTTTTCAGGCCAGGGCATGGAGCACAGGTCACAGAGAAGCAAATATCAACTGAGGATCCCAAAGGGAGGTCCCATAATTTATTACAGAGCTGTGGATTACAGTAAGAGAATTATAGAATTTCAAGTACATCTTACATATGCTATATGCCATGGACAAAGAACTTGGCCTCTCTAAAAAAAAAAAGACCCTGACCTCTCTGAGCCCTGGTTTCCTTATCTGTAAGTTAGGGGGATCATGACACATGAATTTCTTAGTATAAATCCTGGCACATATATTCTAGCCATAATGGTTACTATAAAATGCTTATTCGCTTAGTTAACCATAAATTGTAATTTAACAATATTTCTGAGGTTCTCTGCCCAAATTTCCAAAATTCAGGTTCCAAAACATTTTAGGAACCATATATTATTAACATTTTTCCACCACCACTAGGGTTTTTAATGCTTTGTTCCATTTCATGCAATTCCATTTTTTAATGGGTATATTTGTCACCACAGAAAATCATCGGTTGTTTTCTGCTTTTCCCCCAGGGTGAACAGGGGTTCTACCCTCCTACAAGATGAAACAAACTGCAGAACTTCCCTTAGTGGATTTTTCTGAAAATTAGAATTTTCTGATTAGTATAAGAATGGAAATAATCAACCAAAGTCCTTCCTTTAGGCACTAAACAACTGCTTCAAATAATGAAGACTTCATCAAGCTTAAGCTATAAATGTTGGGCCTCCGTGGTGGCGTATGGGTTGAGCGCTGGGCTGCAAAGCTGCCCGCAACCTCTGCAGTGCTGGTTCGATCCCCGGCCATAGGCGAGGGTCCCACATGGCGCGCACACCTCTCCTGTCACCCGTTGCGCCCCTCAGCAGTGTATTTCGTCAGTCGGCCTGTTCTGTTCCCCGCTTTGCCTCTGGTGAATTCTCTCACCCTCCTGCACTTCTGACTGTACCCAGTGCTTATATAAATAAATCTTTAAAAAAAAAAAAGATATATATGTTACTTCTACACCAATAGTTTTCATGATCTCAGAATTGGATTTTCTAAATGTTGAAGAGCCCACACAACTTTCAGGCAGTCTGTCTTAATTTCTACAGACTGCGCTGGTAGAAAACCGAACAGCAGTATTTTCCACTTTACTTTTTCAAACTATCACCATGGGGTAGGATTTATTTCATTTTCTCCTCAACTGCAAAGGAACTGAATGTTCATTGCATGGTATCATACATTTGTGTAGATTACATTCTTGGAAGTACCGCGGCACAAGCTTTATGTGATTATAAATTCTTTGAGACACATAAATGAATTTCCCTTCTCTTAGCGCACACTTACCCACTAACACAGTAATGACCTTGTTGCTGGCATATTGTTCTATCTCCCGCAACCACTCAGGAAGGCAGCGGAAAGATTCCTCGCAGGTTATATCATAGGTGAGGATCAGGGCATTGGCGCTTCGGTAATAACTCTGGGTAATGGATCGAAATCTCTCTTGACCTGCTGTGTCCCAGATCTGCAGCTGCGAGGGCATAAGAGAAAGATCAGGTTAGAGAAACAGAAAAGAAAGCAAGCATTGCCTGCTTTAGTTTAGAAAAGGAAACACTTCACCCAAATAATTTCACGGTTATTTTCTGCCCTGGAAGGACATGGAATTTTTAAAAATTTGTTGGGTGTGCCTGGCTAAAGAGAGGGGCTTTCGGGGCCTCCCCTGGTGGCGCAGCAGGTTGAGCGCAGTGCTGTGAAGCTGTCCACAGCCTCTGCAGCGCTGGTTCGATCCCTGCAGTCCAGGGAGATACCCACATGGCGTGGCAGACCGCTTCTGTCTCGCCCACTGCTCCCCTCAGCGGTGTTTTTGGTCAATCTGCCTATTCTGCTCCCCACTCTTTCTATGGTGAATCCTCTTACCCTCCCGCGCCTCTGGTCTGTACCCCAGTTCTTGTATGCATGAATAAATAAATCTTAAAAAAAATGAATTAAAATGGAATAAAAAGAAATAATTTTTAAAAATTAAAATAAAAAAGGGGATTTCTTTGCTTTATGTTTTTTTTTTCTATGAACTGCTTAAGCGTTTCCTCTTTATTCTTTAAAAAAACTTAATGAGCATTTCATTATGTGGCAAGCTTTATGCATTTTACATGCAATGACTCATTTTATCTTCAATAGTTCTAGGAGGGAGCTACTATCACTATGGCGTGTGTCATATGAGGAAACGGATGTCTCAGGCAGCATCTCCTAGAACCAATGAAATCAGGCACTGAGGTCCCAGAGATGATGCTTTTAACTACATGTCCAGTGTATTATAAAAGGCAGGCCCTGGCAAGCTGTCATTCTCTGGTTGTTGACACTTCAGTAAGCAACCAGACCAGAGAACGACAAAATCCAACCTCACCACCTTTTCCAGTTCCAAATTCAAAGGACTATATTTTTATGTTTACTAATGAAAAAAGGAAAAAGAAAATGTAGTTTCCCTGCACTACTTTGAAGCTCTGTGATCTTGGGCAAGTCACCCTTTGGACACTGACAGTTTCTTTATTTAAAAAAAAAAAAGAAAAGAATAATATGCAAACCTGCTGGAAGGTCACATTTTCTGAAGTCATCTCTTGTAATACCTAATGTTCTAAGAAAAAAAGGCAAAAACACTTCTTACTTCTCCCTGGATTTCCAGCACCGAGCAGAAGATTACTGAAAAGCAACTGTTCTCCAGACAGACCCAAGTACAGAACAAATCCGAGAGCCTTGAGAAATAACATGAATGACAATAATCATCTCCCTGTGTGACTGTATAAACTTCACCAGTCACAAGATTCACTCACTCTCACTAAGAGAACATCATTTCCCAGGGAAGACTATCTACAGCCTTAAGGTTAAACCAGGTTCCCCTTCCTAGTGCCCCACTCACTCATATTTTCTCCTGCACCCTGCAATTCTCCTTCATAGCCTGACATCTTAAATCATCTGTTTGTATTTATTTATTGATTGATTGATTGATTGTGTAGAAGAACTGGGGTGTAGGCCAGTGGTGCAGAGGCAGAGTGGGGGGCAGAACAGCTGGATCTACCCAATACAATCCTTAGGGGAGCAGAGGATGAGACAGGAAAGGTCTGCTGCACCATATGTTGGTTAGCTCCCTGGCTGGGGATTGAACTCAGGCTATAACAATGACAGCACTGATACTTAACATCTAGGCCACCAGAGAGGATCCAAATATATATTTTAATAAAGACTGTAATACTTTTTTAAACTATTGTAGTGATTTTTTTAAAGATTTATTTATTTATGCATACAAGAGCTGGGGTACAGGCCAGAGGTATGGGGGTGAGAGGATTCACCAGAACAGTGGGGAACAAAACAGGCAGATCAAATGAAATACACTGCTGAGGGGAGCAGCGGGTGAGTCATGAGAGGTCTGCTGCGCCATGTGGGTTGCTCTCTGGCCGGGGATCAAACTTGTGCTGCAGTGGCTGGGGATAGCTTCGTAGTGCTGCGTCTTAACCCTTCTGCCACCAGGGAGGCCCTGTAGTGATTTTTTAAAAGCTCTTTTCCTTCCTAGACTGAACGTTTCAGGCAGGGAAAGTGGGTCCATTTTACTCACAGAATCTCCTGCACTAAATAAAGCATCTGATAAATAGTAAGTGTTCAAGTATTTACAGATAGTCTCCTTTATCCTTATAGCAACTTGGTGAGGAAGTCAAGTTTCTGCCTCTCCTCATTCATGAGCAAGTCCATGTCCTAACTGAGTGCTCACAAAGCTAGGACTCAACTTCTCATAGGCAGTGAAGATCTCAACACACACCTCCGTGCTCCCTTTGCCTCCCGAGGTTGATGTACTATGTATCTGGAACAACAGAGCATGAGTCACTTGGTGTCACCCTCTGCTCATACCAGTTTAGTGGCGCAGACTGGAGAGTGACCCGCCCACGGTCATGACCTGCAATCGGGCACACAGACGCTCCTTTGATCTGAAGCCACAGCTGCTCTTTGATAATACACATGAAAGTCTGTGTCTGCTGAAGGCAACTATACAGATGTTAAGGCTTTTGCTTGACAAAAGCCATCCTCTTCTCTGCCTCAAATCTAGGGGCATGGTGCCCCTCTGCCAGGATGTGCCTTAGAACAACAGACTATTGTTTTAATGTAACACCAAGCCTCTAAAAACACTTGCGATTGAATTTAATAGTATCAGTCATTAGAAATCAGTATGTTCTTAGGATTAGCACACCCTGAGAACAGCTTTAAGAATGAAAACCACTGAAATATTTTCTACAATATGATTTATGGCCTTGTCAAGATGCACACTTTTTTCTCATGAGGGGGTGGGGTGGTATCTAGTTCTGGTTTTATATTTGATTCCTAAGGATATTCTTATGCTACTGCCTTTATCATTTCAGCTTGGTTTCACCTTGCACTCTGTCATTCATTTGATCCTTTTTAGAACATGTAGGTCATTAACATATGCAAAGCACTATGCTAGGCACATGGAGGGTACAAAGATGAATAAAACTTAGCTCACAGTTCAAAGGGAGCCAACCACATAGTTGACTAACCACAATAAAATATGAGATGTTCTATTAAAGAGGAAACAGCAGGAGAGAGTGTCTCTTAGTTTTAGTCACATGCCATGCCCATCAATATGTTCTCAGCACCACAGCCCTGGGCTTTCTAAGCTCTCTCAACTCCAGCAAGAGGCTGCAATGTTCTCTAAGGTTTTATTATATCACCAGTGATATTTCTAGTGCCTCGGTGTTGTACCTGTGTATTGCAATGATTGGTTTACTAGTGTGTTTCTTTGCTATACTGAGTTCTTTGAGGGTAAGGGCTGTCTCTCTCTTTTTCCTTTATTGAGGTGACATTGTTTTACAAGACTACACAACACCTCTTCAATGTATGGTAGCATCCCTCCCTCACCATCCAAGCACCCACAGCCCTCCACCATAAACCACCCTGCCTCCTCCCTCTGTTCCTACTCTATCCTCCCTTTCCCTCTATAAGAAGGGCAGTCTCTTATTTAACTTTACGCCTCCAGTGCCTTCCAAAGACAGCACATGTTAAGTGGCAGGCATATTTGAATGGCTAATAAAGACTGTGAAATCATGAAGGATTAATTTTGGTTAAATGATTATTTAGGTATTAAAGACGATTTCACAGTTAAAATGTTTGTGCTAGGTAACAGGAAGTTCCTAAAGAACAAAGATGCTTTACCAAAACAAAAAGCATCTGCTACAACAAAGGATAGATGGAGGAATGGATGGATAGTCAAATGAACAAATATATGTATATCCACTTAAGACTTTCCCATCTATGCAACATAGACTTCATTAGAGGGAAATCTGGAAAATCTTCTATTTCTATTATAATTAATCTTCTAGGGTTAAAACATAAACTGAACTTAAGAGTTTTGCTTTTACCCATTAATTTGTGATACATCAAACAGTATCAATGAACAGATGAAAATTCTACATATGCCCAAATCCCTCACTTTTGCTTTTACTTATTTGGTATTAAATTTTCAAAGCTATAAGAATCTATTGCCTTTGATTCCCTACGCATCATCCTGCAAAGAATTAGACTTCTAGGGGAGGCTGAGAGAGGTGATGAGAAGTCAGGAGAAAGATTCTGGGTCTGGTCCTGTCCTGCTACTTGCAAGGCAGGATTCTGAACAAACCACCAGTAAATTCTCTTTTCCATTGACTCATTAGAGTTCTGAGAAAAAAAAAATGCAATCTACTATCAAAAAGACAGGGATCATCAGAAAAGAACAGTCAGTAAATGCTAAAGACCAGGACAACACTAAGACAACTATTTCCTTAATGAGACATGGGCAGCTCTGCCCTTTTCCATTAAGACTAAGAAAATGACTCTTTGCGTCCAAGTGTTAATGAGGCCATTGAATTAACATAGTTGAGAAGGGTCATTTTATATCTGGATTCTACATATATGGCCAATTAACTAGAACAGGATTTGGGAGACCAGCCAACTCTCACTTATTACAGATAAAGAGATGATAGGGACAGGAACTGAGCTTGATTCAAGATGTGTAAGACGCAAGCCTTGCTCTTAGGGAGGCTGTGGTCTCGTGATTGCACCAGAGTGTAATAAGCATTTAGAAATGGGTTTATGGCTTGCAGAAAATGGAATAAAGGTAATATCAAAACTTGGGGAGTCAGAAAAGAGAAATAAGTCTGATCTTCAACACTGGGGACCAGGTTCTTTCTCATCCCTATTCCTTCTCAGTGCCTGGCACATGGGAGGCATTAACATTTTCTGACCAAAGGAATGAACTCACACATATATGTGTTCATACACAAGCAGTCCGAATATTTGGAAGCAAATTGCCTGGAGGAATAGATATATTTACTCAGCTCCTGGGGAGATGACCGCCTCTACTACTAGAACAAAGGGCTCTTCCTGCCAATTCCTCTTGAGTGCATATTCCTCTATCCTTCCTAGCAACACCCTACTTCCTTTCTCTCACCTCAGAAAATGCACTATTTTCTGAGCTTTTTGGTTTGCATTTGCATGGATTTCAAACCCGGAATTTTCCAGTGCCCCCAGCTCTCAGTCTTTATCATAAGGGGCCAGTGAGATGTTAGTGCTGAGAGATACAGGGAGAGTTTCTGTTCTAAAGTTTCTGTTTAGAAACTTTCTCCTAAACACTCTCTGTATCTATATAGTGCCACAACTGTGCCACTGAGCTCCTCTGCCCTTCCCAAGGCATTTGAAGGCAGGCACACGGGTGCATATGGAGGAAGGATGCAACTGACACATGACCTCAAACTTGGAATGCTTAGGGAGGGATCCAGCTGAAGCTGATTCCAGTGTTCAGCATGTTGCTGATGCCACAGTTATTGCTTCTTTCCATAGAACTCAGCTCTCAGAGATCTGAGAGAGGAATCTCATTAAGAATGAGGGACAGGGCCTCCCCTGGCGGTGCAGCGGTTGAGCACTGGGCTGCGAAGCTGCCCACAGATTCTGCAGTGCCAGTTCCATCCCCGGCCGCCAGCAAGGGTCCCACATGGCGCGCAGACCTCTCCTGCCGCGCCCGCTGCTCCCCTCAGCAGTGTACTTCGTCAGTCTGCCTGTTCTGTTCCCACTCTGTTTCTGGTGAATTCGTCACCCTCCCGCGCATCTGGCCTGTACCCCAGCTCTTGTATAAATAAATAAATCTTTAAAAAAAAAAAAAAGAATGAGGGACAGGTAGAGCTCAGGGCTTAAGACCAGATTCTCTATTCTCTTCTCCTATAACTTAGTCTTGCTTCAGATTTCCTCCCATCACCTTTATCTGTTCCCTGCTCCAAGGTGGCAGGCCAACTGTGCTTCATTTCCTTTTTCAAGACAGGGAAGGCCCCAGAGAGGCAGTGGGATACATTAACTCACAAAATGGGCTCAGCTCCTGCCTCTCTTCCTTCCTAACTGTGGATAAATCAGTCATTCACATCTCTGAAACCTATAAAATGAAGATAATTTACCTCTTACCTCATAGGATTTTCAGTAAGGATTAAGTTCAATGTGATGACACGTGTAAAGGCATGGAGCAGAGGGACCGACGCACAGCAAGTACTTGGTCAGCACTACCTCTGGTCTCCTGTTACTCCACACACCACAGTCTTGACAGATACCAAACTAACCAGACAGCGCTAACCAGGGGAGGATGAGACCATGCCCTCCCTGGCCCCCTCATTTACTATCTCTCCCTGCCTAGGCACAGGAGCATGATGGAGACAGAATAACTCAATAAGTGATTGATGTGAGTAAATGGAATAGAAACTAGTAACTAAGCAAATCTTTCAATTAAATTAAATTCTCTGCCCGCTCCACCATCACTACCAGCCCCTTCCATTGGCTCAGCTAACTGGTAGAAAAAAGAACTCTAGTTAGTGCCACGGGAAACCTGTTTCATTTCACTTCGTTTGCATGATATGAGGGGAGCAGATGCAGGAGTCAGCAGCTCTCTCCTGTGTCCACTGCTTGGAAGAGGTGGCACTGCTTATTGGCCCAACTAGGTAGATCCAAAAAGAAAGTTCTCTGTTGTTTCACCCCATCTGGCATGACAGTAGCCAGGACATACTTGCTTTAGGTCTTCCTGCTCACCATCCATAAGCTCCTCCTGCCCCCACCAAGGGGCAGAAGTATTCTGTTTGGTGATAAGCTGCTAGGATTTGGTATAGTCTTTCCAATGTAGATTCCAATGAGAATGAGTGCATGTTAGGAAATATCACTTCCTTTTACCCAGCACCATGAAAATCTTTTTGGATACTTCGCATCTTACCTTCACTTTTTCACCATTAATCTCCACTGTCTTAATCATAAAGTCAACTCCAATTGTGGCTCCTTGACCTGGGGGGAAAAGACCCTAAAAAATAAATAATAAAAAATAACAATTAAGCAAATTTTTGAATTAAATTAAATTCTCCACCTTCTCCACCATCACCGTCAGTTCCCAGTTCTTTGCTTTGGTTGATGAACTCTGCTTAGAGTCCTGGGGAACCTGTTTAATTAGGCATGCTTGCTTTGAGGGGAGGAGAAAAGAGGGAGAAAGTAGAAGAGAAATGTTGAAAGAAGAAGAAAGGAAAGGGGGTGTGAAGAAAGAGGAGGAAGACAGTGAGGGAAAGGAGAGAACTAGGAAAGGAGGAAGGTCCAATTTCAAAGAACAAAACAGAAAAATCAGATACAAGTAGATGATTAAGATCATGGAGTTACCCTACATTGTTAGGGTAAGGACGAAATGGATGGCCTGAAAAGTAAAACCGAGGAAGACTAAAACTATTTATCAGGGGTGCAAGGGGTTAAGACGCAACCTATGAATCTGTCTGCAGTCTCTGCAGCACGACTTTGATCTCCGGCCAGGGAGCTGCCCACATGGCGCAGCAGACCTCTCCTGTCTCGCCCGAGTTCCCCTCAGCAGTGTGTTTCAGTAGAGCCAACAGTTCTGCTCCCCACTCTGTCTCTGGTGAATCCTCTCACCCCCACACCTCTGGTCTGTACCCCAGCACTTGTATGCATAAATAAATAAATCTTATCAGTCTAGAGCAAGAAAAGTTACAGTGGTAGACAATCAATATGAAAACAAAAAACAAAAACCAAGCACTCAGGAAGTGAACCATGAACAAGATGGAGATTTTTAATTTCCTCTGCCCTGTATGTGATAACTATTTCCTTGAGTACAATGTACCCAACATATATAATTATGTGAGATCAGGGTCAATGATGCCAAGGTCATCAGTGAAAATAGCCCTTTGGAGAGAAAACAGAGTAGAAATAGCACTTAACAGGGAGGCAGCAGGCTCAGGATCACTGTTGTGACTTCAAGCAAACCAGTCTCCCTCTCTGGACCTAAAATTCAATGAGGTGGAGGATAATAGAAGCATTTCAAAACAATAAAAAAAAGCTTTCCTTAAGCTAAAAGCCAAACTACAAAGATAGGATTTAAGAAAACTGTACGGATAATGTAATTACCGTTACATAATTTTTCTGGTAAGCTTAGTGGAGGAGTTGAAAATAGGGAGGTATTCTATTGAGAAAGAACCTACTTTTCTTCCCTCATCACTTCTATTCCAGAATTTCAGAAAATAAGGTGAAATGGACTTTATTAGCTGCGGCGGCTAAGATTGGGGCATGTTTAATTAAGTCCATTCCTAGCAAGAGAGCTCTTTAATTAAAGTATGAAATTAAATGGCTGAGCTTCAAACCAACAGAAAATGTTCCCCTGCATGTCTGCAAAAGATGTAAATATAAACATTCATAACTTTACTTAAAAATATTGAATCAATTTTCCTCTATTTTGGTTTGGCTCAAGCACAAGGCTGCCAAGCTTTGAGTTGAAAGCTCCAGCTGTTTTACAGTCTAACAAATGCCAAAAAATAAAACAAATCCTTCCCCATGTCTCCCCTATTGTTTTGTTCCCCAAACCCCTGTGCCTCAAAAACAGCTGAATCTAGTTCATTTTAACTTTCTACTAAATAACCAAAACAAACATAATTTGGCCTGTGAAATATGAACTTTGTGGGGGGTTGAAGAGCTGGGAAGGGTAAAAAGTAGACAGAAAGAAAGACCAGCAGTAGTGTACTTGTTGGTGAAAATTAGTGTTTGAAAATAGAAGCATTTTTCACTTTTAACAACAGGGAATATGCTTTTAACAAGAAAAGTCAAATTCCTATGGCATCTGAGCTTAGAACGCAGAACATTAGAGGGTAAAGTGATCATGCCGGTATCAGGAGACAGGTGCTCCAACCTTGGCTTTGCCACTGGTATGATGGGAGAAGCCAAGAAGTCATTTTGTTCCTCTAGACCTGAGTTTTTCCTCAGTGGAATGAAAAGAGTGTGTTGAATAATCTCTAAGGAATCTTTCAAGGTCAAGGGACTTTTTTTGTAGTATATTTCTTATCTTTTAAAATAATATTTAACATTTATTAAATGGTATTTCATAATATTTACTGGAGTAACACTGCATTATAACATTAGAAAAGTTTCAGGTGTACATCATTAGAAATTCACATCTGTATACACTGCATTAACTGAACCCACTAGAAGTCCAATTCTGTCCTTCACCATACAAATGACCCTTTTACCCAGCTTAGCCAACCCACAGGAATTTTTGATAAAGGGGCTCAAAACTCCCCTACATTTCTGCAGTCTCTTCCTCCTATCAAAAGCAGAAAAGCGGACTTATGTTTGGTGGAAGTAAAACCTGTTGGAGTTCCCAGTATCACACCAGGGTTGTTAATTGAGTCCAGATGCAAGCTAGCTTATTATTTTTGATTTCACCAGGCCAAAGTTTAGGAAAAAGCCCACATTCCATTTTGCTCATTTATTGTGGCAAAAACCCTGGCATTTCCAAAGGTGACTCTGCCCAAAAGCTGTTTATATTATCAAACCTGCCTCTCCATTCTCCACAGCTCTAGATGGTCAGAGCTGGAAAGGGCCATGGGGATCACCAGACCCTTTGTGGGGGGCAGAGAGACAGTTAGGCCGGCAGCGGGTTACTTGCCCGGGCTCTTAGGATGAGCCAGGGCAGAGCTGGGGTCAGACCCTGTGTCTGGACTCTCCAGCCAGTGCCCTTCCCGGGCTGCCCTATGCTGTTTACAGAAGGTGCCCGTCTCACCTTTCCCAATTAGCACTTTACGAAGATGCCAAGATTATGCATAATAATGCTTTTTTAAATTTTTTTTAAAGATTTATTTATTTATACAAGACCTGGGGTACAGGCGTGAGAGGGTGAGAGGATTCACCAGAGACAGAGTGGGGAACAGAACAGGCAGACAGTCCGAAGGCACTGCTGAGGGGAGCAGAGGGCAAGACAGGAGAGGTCTGACGCACCATGTGGATTTCTCCCTGGCCAGCCCGGAACTGAACCTGCGCTGCAGAGGCTGCGGACAGCTTCACAGCACTGCGCTCAACCCACTGCGCCTCCGGGAAGGCCCTATGCATAATAATCCTGAAAGGGATATCATCCCTATTTTTTCCAGGGAAAACACAAAAGTCAGCCAACTTCATTATGATTTCCCACTCATTTCTATATTAAACCAGGTGTCTAAGCTCTGGCAATAATTCTCAAAAGCACAGCCGCAGAGGGAACCTGTACTTAGATCATATAATAAGGACTCAACTCGGGGGGGAAATTCAACTTAGTTCAAATAGTCTTTCACTGTTCTCATTTCATTCCCATCTAGTAGATTTAGAAAAACCAGCCTGTTTGGCTCTTAACCAAAATGATTTACTCAGTTTCCTGGGAAGACATGAGATGGGATTGGTGGGGAGTTTGGTTTAATTTGTATTTAAATTGCATTTTAAAAAAATAATATTTTGGTCTAGTTTAATATCCCCATTCACTTGTTTCTATCTTTTGATTAGTAACTAATAACCTATCTTTTATCTAATAATCTATTTATCACACCACACTGGAAGCAGAACCACTCTCCCCCTGCATTTAACAAGACAGTGGGTGGCGACCCAAGGAGTCAGGCACTCTTTTCAGGGGTTAAAGAAAGCTAGTCTGGGCTACAAAGCCCTTTCAGAGTAGGTTAAAGACAAGCAGCCCAGAGGCTGGTGCTGGACCAGTCACCCCCCTCAGCAGGCTCCCCTAACCGTGCAGGCCAGAGCAACCATCTGCGCGTCTGAGTTCTCTTACCTGAGTGAACCGTCGGACTAGGCACGTCTTCCCCACACCGGCATTGCCAATTAAAACAATTTTAAACAGGAAATCATAATCTTCCATACTCATTTACACAGCTGCAAGGCAAGCACAGACAGGAATGAGAGGGGCCTGGTCAGACTTGCCCACAGAGCTCGAGCTGCCCTGGCCCCATCTGCTCAGGAACAGTGGGTCTGACTCATTCAAGAAGCAATTGTTTTAATTTATATATATTTTATATCGTTGTTCATTTTTAAACAATATTTGCTTCCCCCCACCCCCTCAGGTGCAGTCCCCATAGAGTTTCCTTCCCCAAGGCACCCGTGCACCATCACCTCAGTCCCCTGTGCTCCTCCCTGCCTCCCTCTGATCCCTCTCCCTCCTCCTCCCCTGCAGGATGTCTCTGGCTTATAATTGGCTGTTTGTTTTTGTTTTGTATTGTGATTCTTTTTCCCCCTAGTGTCCTATTTGGTTCCCCTTTATTCCTGCTATAAGTGGAACCATCCGGTATTTTTCTTTTTCCTTCTGGCTTATTTCACTGAGTATAATTCCTTCTAGCTCCATCCACGTTGCTGCAAATGGCATGAGTTTATCTTTTTTCATTGCTGATAGTATTCCATGGTGTATATACACCACAACTTTCAAGGAACAATTTAATGTTTCCCTCTGGTGACCCTGCCAGTGAGGGAGAACCACAGGTGTCCAGTCAGAGGAGGACTTTACTCCTTCCCAGTTACCCCACAGTGTAGGGAATAAATGACACAGGTGTCCTTTCACCTGGTAACCTTTATTCTTCCAAGAAGTCAGGTCACAGGTTGCTCATGTGATCAAATCTGTTTTCCTTTAACACAGAAATCTATATGCAGACAAGCTGGCAGTGCGAGGAGACAGTGACCAAGGAGAGCCTATGCAAAGCTTGGTTTATGGCTACACTGTGTGTGCCGCTGGGAAGGAAGGGCGCGGCCTGGAAGGGTCAATGAAGAAGGACCCAAGAGGAGCCTTTCTGTCTCCTGCAGATCATGGGGTCTTAAGCTCTTTCCAGTGGGAGGTATGGCCCCGGTCCCTTCTACCACAAGCCCACGGCATCCACCTGCTGCCAGTCATGCTGGTATGGTGGCACCTGCCCAAGTACCTGTCCTTCCACTTCCTTGCGCTGCAGTGTACACGTGTCATCGCCTCCGCCTGTGGTGCTCTCCCCCACTCTCTTCCCTGGCATGAAGTTCATCTTTCAGGTAGGGTCCAATGCATGCATCTCTCTCTCTCTCTCTCTCTCTGATTTTTTCATTGATGCTCCCTAAATAAATTTAAACACTATTCCTCTGTCCTAAAGCTTCACTTGCTGTATACAACTATTTGGTCAAATGTCTGCTTCACCCTCAAGAGAAGGGATCCATTTTTCAGCTCTATTTTCCTAGGCTGAGGTACACTTACCCTTAGTAAATTCTACTCCATAGAATTAGAGAACTAATCAGTGGGCACATTACATGCAGGTCTTAGTTTCTCCTGTCGTACTGAAAGGAACACTACCTGCTCTGTCCTTGTCAGAGAACAACTGTGAAGATTTAAAAAAAAAAACTGCACCAGAGTCTTGGTACCCACAAAGCCTTGCCCTGGGAAAGCAAATCCTCTATGCACACACACCCTATTCCCGTGCTCTCCACCATAGGAAGCACAGGCGTGAGACAGTCTCTGTTCTCAAAACCAACATGAAGCAAAGCTAACTAACAGGTTAAATAACAGTTCAAATCAGCATCCGAGCTCATTTCAAAGTTGTAGACAGAACAAGCCCAGTGGACTCTGAAGGAAGAGAAAAAGGGATAACCAGCAAGGGTACAGGGTGACTCCAAGCTCAGTGGATTTCTGCCATTCCTTAACTACATGGACCGTTCCCCTCTCTGGACTTTCCTGTACACGGTCTTCCTGCCCACAACACGGAACACAACCTCACTTCACGGTCCTGCCCAGCTTTATTCCTCCTTTCAATTTTGCTTAAACATCACTCTCTCAAGTAAGCTTCTCTGGCCTGCAAGAAAGGTTGGGCCTCCAGCTACACACTGCTGCAAGACTGTCGTCCTCGCCTACGGTAATACTCACCACGCTCTGCCGTAGTTATTTATATCTCGCCCACATTCCCACCCCATTCCTCAGCACCTCTGTCCCACACACACACAAAACCTGGAGCAACACGAAACGGATGAAGCCTCTTCGGTTGAGTCCAGATCCTAACCCTTCCTACCATTGTCCTTGTCATCTTCATCATCTCATCCTGTATAATTAACTGATTTATTAACCCTCATGACACTCCTCGGAGGTGAACACTACTAGCTGACAGATGAGGCTACTGAAGCACAAGAGAGTTAAATGAGAGGTCACTGAGGTCCCACTGAGGTGGGCGTTCCACTTAACTGGTGGAGCTGGGATTCAAACCCAGCAGCTTGAACGTAGCCTGCAGTCCCTCCCACAGTGCCTGGATCATAATAGGAACTTAAGAAAGAGCTGATGAATTGAGTGAGGAAGGGCAAGAAAACTGAGACACAAAGAAGGTATCCTAAAGTCACACAGCTGATTATTCTTAGGACCAGGATTCAAACCTCGATCCATCTGACTCCAAAGCCCAGCTTCTTCTGAAACAGGATACAATTGCCTAGTGGTCGATAGTGTTGCTATACCTGTCTTGAGGATTGAGGGTCAGCTGAATGCAACTCCAGGTCCATTGGAAGAGTATTATTCGCGACTCTCCCTCCTCCTCAAGGGGGACACAATGATTCTAGACCAAATGGGCACTGTTCCTCACACTGCCTCCCAGCCCCAGCCTCTTCTAGGAGCTAGACCCACAGGCTGCTCCCTTGCACAGCACTCCCAAAATTCAGCCATCATTCATTCATGTAGCTACGTAGCAGACACTGTGTTCGAACAGGAATACCACTCAGATGAATAAGTAAGATCCCATATATGATCACCACAAGAGCTGTAAATGAATGGATATATGCAAAAGATTTGAAAAAGGAAAAAAAGGTGAGAAAAAGAAAAAATGTTACAGGAAAGGTTACAGGAAACAAGATACACTATGGAGAGCTTAAAAAGCAAAAAAAGAAAGAAAAAACAGTGCTAAGCAGTGTGATTTTAGCAACATAAGCCACTTATCAAAGTGATGTTTAAAAAAATAACTCCAATCACTATTGTCCATCAGAACACTTTCTCTTCCCTCTTTTGAAGCTCAGTGTAACAGGTAAAGTCAAAGTTTCTGGTGAACAGAAGCCAGATGCCTGCCCCACCTTCTGACTTCCAGCAATATGCCCAAGAAAATTACATTTGGGAAACTCATCCTTGATTAAAAACCTTGAGCCTGAGGGGTTGAGCACAGCGCTGTGAACCTGTCGCAGCCTCTGCAGCACGAGTTCGATCATCAGCCAGGGAGCTACCCACATGGCGCAGCAGACCTCTCCTGACTCGCCCGCTGCTCCCCTCAGCAGTGTACTTCGGTCTATCTGCCTGTTCTGTTCCCTGCTCTGTCTCTGGTGAATCCTCTCAACCTCCTGTGCCTCTGGCCTGTACCCCAGTTCTTGTAATCATAAATAAATAAATCTAAAAAAAAACCAAAAAACTAACCTTGAGCCTTGGTCTGTACACCGAGGGGGCAGGTGAACAGGTTTCCCAGCCCCTTCCCAGAGCAGCATTAGGTAGCATGGGCAATGAAAACAAGAGACCTGGGCTGCTAAACAGCTATAAAAAGTTTCCTTGTTCATAAAATGGGGATGATAATAGAATCTATAACCATCAAGTTGTTTGAGAGTCAAGTAAGATAACTTAAAAAAGTAGTATCCTTTTAAAAAATGTAGTAATGAAAAAAAAAAATGTAGTAATGATTTTTTTTCAGCCTCTGACAAGAGTCAGAGCACAGTGAGCTTCTTCCGGACGAGCCTTCCTCCAGGTTCCTCTCCTGCATCTGCCTGGTGAAGGGGGCCGTGCTCTATATGTCCACTGCCCCCATAGCCCCTGTGGGAAGGACATGCTTCACCAAGACACTTACACTTGCATGCCCCACTGCTGTGTTCAAGAAGTTTACACTGAATTGAAAGCATCTGACCCATCTTTCACTCTAACAAGGTTCTGTCTCAGGAAGCTCATTATTGTTTAATTACTAGAAGGCAATTACTAAACATTACTATAAGCAAATGCTGCAAGCTCGTTTGCTTTACATGAGCTGCTAATTTCATGTTATTGCGAGTTAACTATTCTCCTTGGCCATGGATAATGAACACCCACCTGTGCTGTGGCTACTCTCGTCCACCAGACCAAGGTCTCCAGCATTTTTCTATGGCCCTTTACCATTGAAAAAACGCATTCACAGATATGATCAAATCTGGACCTGCCAACAGTCCCATAAGCTGGTTTTATCATTCACTATGCAGGTGAGGAATCGGGGGGTTTAGGTGATGAAGTGACTCATCCTAAGTCACATACCAATGAATTCCAAGGTGGCACCTGTGTCATAGCCACCTAGAACTTCCCCCTTTGCCAGAACACACTACGTGTTTCCAGGTTCCTGGGTATTTGGACCATGCTTCAAACACTTACTGTGTGTCTGGAAGCATAATAAATGTTTTCCATATATGGTCTTATTTCACCTTGTCAACAGCCTTATTAGGTAGGCATTATCATTCTTCTCAGTATACAGATAAGGAAATTGAGGCTCAGAGAAGTTAATTTGTTCAAAATTATAACTGAATAAAACCCCTGGCCCAGAGACACATGCAACATGAGTGAGGCTTCCTCTGTTTCCAACCGGGAGAAGAAAACATCAGAGGTATGACGGGGGACTGAAGGCAGGACTGGAAACCATGAAAGGAGGTGGACCAAGCACTGCTGGACTCTGTCTTCACCAGGGAACTTCTCCACTGACACTACCAGGGAGCAGGGTTCCCAAAGTCAGGATTATAAGACTAAGCAGCAGCAGCATATGACAGTCATCGGAACGGATGGACAATCCGTATGAATGAGGAGGCACGGAACCCAGAAACTACGCTGATCTGGACAAAACAGGGCAGTCTCTATCACAGGAAGCTCCCGAATCAAGGAACCCAGAGAACCACTCCACACACCCGCATTCCAAGAGGCTCCCGAATGGCTCTGCCTCGCTACCTGCCTCCCATTGGCTCCAGGGATCTGAGCAGTCTGGTCTGCTGTGGGCCGGGAGTGCAGGCCCTCACCCCAGAAAATGATGAGGTTCCAGAAAAAGGAAAAGGACAAAGCTTGTGGGCCAACCATCCATCTTAGAGCATGCAGCAAGGGAGGAGCTGGAGTGATCAGGGGAGCATGGAAGGGAGACTCAGGGGAGCAGGGTGGTGGTTGCAGCTGCAGGGTCAATATGGTTGGGAGGGCTATACCTACAAAGATGACCAGTGATGTAAGAAAATTAAATATATGTATGAGTAAAATTAAATATATATCTGAGTAAAAGTGCCAAGATCCAAAACCCATGCCTTTCTCGGGGAAAAAAATTAAGTTGGAAATCTATCTATATTCCTTACACTAAAATAAATTCCAGCTGGATCAAGGATTTGGACTTTAAAAGATGAAAACATAAGAGTACTAGAAGAAATCATAATATAATCTTAAAGTGGGGAAGGCTTTCAAAGAATTAATCAAAATCAAAGTCATAAAATAAGACATTGACCAGATTCTGCAGGGTGAAACAATAAAAGATAAACTGACTAGAGTATCTGAAATACACTAACTGAGGGCTAATTTCCTTAAACATAGAAGTGTTAGGGGGAAAAGGATGTCCCAAAGCTAATTCCATATAGGCTTTGTGGACTCCACCCCCACCCCAGGTCAAAGCCAAAGACACTGGGAACTCCAAATCCCATCACCACCAAAGGGAAGGTGGCAGGGACCTGAGGGTGGGGTTAAGCAGCCAGGTGGATACAAAAGGCAGACACGTGGGCTTTGGGGGGGGGCTCTCCATTTTTGGCTCTTGGCCAGCTCGCAGCGGTCGGCCAGCTCTGAGAGTGACTTTGGGTTTCCAGGTCGTAGGATCGGGTAGGACGCATTAAAGACTTTATTTCCCTATTTTCTCCCTGAGTTGTACATTTTCCTTATTTCCTTTCCTCTTGTAAATAAACTTTTTATTAACCTTTTTGCGTGTGTCTGTAGTAGAGTATTCATAAGTCCCTTTAAAGCGCGCGGGTGAGGACCCACAGCCAGGAACCCGTTTAATATCGGGGTTGCTCTATAACAGAAGGAGTTCCTATAAATCAATAAGAATCTATAATACAATAGACAACATGGATAAAGGACATGAACAAATAGTTTATGAGAGAGGAGATTAAATTATGAACCTCACTCACATGAGTAAATTCAGATTCAAATGGATTTGTA